TTTCTATAGCTATATCTATATCAAGGCCTAATAACCTCACCTCTAAGATATATCGTGATAATAACTATTTGGCGTGGCTCTAGAGCCTCATTTATGAGGTTGTTTTGGTGAGGCCGCGCGTGCGCGAGGTGGTGGTGTGCGCGAGGTGGTGGGGCACGGTAGCAAAGTTTGTAGAAATGACAAACCGAGGCAAACTGAATCTAGCCATGCTAGATGACCTAGGAGATCTTTCTTTAATAACAGTTTGTATATGTGAGCCATTGAAGAATTGCAGATCAGTTCATGATATGGAGACTTGTACAAATTACCGAGAAGTTCCTAACATCGGGTCATCGCTCATCAACGGCTTCTATTTTGAGGATTATCATGCTTTGGAGAGTGCAGCTGACTGGTCATCCAATGAACTCTGTGATCAGGAAAGAGTTGATCAGATGCACACGTCCAGCCCCTACAATTGCCCTATGCCGTCTTTCCTGTCAGACAATAAGCTTTTCCCGATTTGCTTGGTGCAAGGACGGAATGGCTTACTTCCTGGGTAAATGGGCCGAATACGAGATTCTAGAAATTCTAGCGCACGGGAATGTCCGTTTCTGAGTCAGCCTCTGATTGGTAGCAACATTCAGACCATTGCGCATCAGTATACAATTTTATTCATTGGCTACGAGCACTAGTTTTTCTACAATGTATTTCAAGTAGACTGTATGAATTACAGGATAATTCATCCTGTGAGTTCTCAAACATTGCTCTTCTAAACAGCATGATCGCGTGAACAAAGCACTGATGCAGCCTACCGCTGTCAGCGATGTCACTATCGGACCCAAGGGGAAATTGGATATTTCGGTGTGTACTCCGACAACTAAAATAGCCAGCGCAAGGGTTAAAGTAAGCAGTCACTGCCGAAATCGGTGCACTATGACCAGTTGGTCCTCTGTAAACCTACGTCCGACATGTCACGGCATGGTCCGCACCCATGAACACTGGCCGAATTGATTGCCGCGATGCCGCCCGCCCAAGAACGTGATTGTCACTGCGCAACGACATCGTAGGGTGACCGTTCATATAAGATTATGAGCAAGTTCCCACTATTGGGAATCGTTACTCCGGCCGTTTCGCACAGTCTCTCATAATAGCCCATCCATCACCCTCGCTTCCTTGATAGGCTATAGACCACTCTCGCTATGTTGTCTCTCGGTCAAGTTACAGCCATACTCGCCTTCACTGGCGCGGCTATCGCCAGCCCTACCCCAGAGGGTTCGTCAAACAAGGACTGCGTGGTCACGATTGCGCAATGCAGAAAACTCAACCGAGCTACAGCTAACATTTGTTCAAAGCAGATGGTGCTACCTTTTCGCTTCATCCAATCCCTGGATCTGCATCCACAAAGCATGGACTGGATCAGTTGATTGAAGTCAGGCGTAGAGCCGGAGTCGAAGTACACCCAAGGCTCGTCGAGGCTGCAGAGAATGCTGGGCGTCGTCTACGCAGAGCCCGTTTGGCATCTCGCAGCACAGGTCGAAAAGTGACTGGGGCTTCATGGGGATGGAGTGAGGACAAATATGATACTGAGTACCTTTATCCGGTCCAAATTGGTGGCAAGAACGGCAAGACGTTTCGCGCCAGTATTGGCACTGCTGCCTCAGATTTGTGAGTCACTATATCATCGCAAAGAGTCGTGGGTATATTCTAACATTCATCAAGCTGGTGCCATTCTTCCGCACAGCCCAAGAAACAGAACGTCGGGTACACCTACTACGAAATCAACCCCGCCCACCAAAAGGTCGGCTCTAACTACTCGATTGGATACAACGGCGCTGAAGCAGATTCTTACGGCAATGTGTATGTCGAAGATGTGACGATCGGCGGTATTACCACCAAGCAAGCATTCGGCGCAGCCAGTGGCCTGTCGCAGGCATTCCTATCAGACACGGATCTGGACTGCTTGGTCGGTCTCGGCAACAGCTCCTACAACAGCATCGTGCCCGAGTACGAGAATAACTTCTTCGACAACATCATGAAACAGCTTGCCAAGCCCGTCTTTGCCTACGCCGAGAAGAAGGGCGGCTCCGTTTTCGACTTTGGATTCTTTGACCCCAACCAGTACACCGGCAGGGTTGCCTGGGTCAACAACGCACCTGAGGCTGGCTGGCCTGCATACGCCTTCTACGGCGAGGGCTTCAGTCTTTTCGACCCCAACGCCAAAGTCACCCCAAGAAAAATGAACATCCATCTCGATGCCTCGACCACCCTTACCTACACCGACCCTGATATCGTCACCGCGTGGTACAAATCTATCCCCGGCTCAAAGTACGACGACGACCAGCAGATGCACAGCGTGCCTTGTAACAGCAAGCCCGGTGGCTTCACCATCGTCATCGCCGGTCAAAAATTCTTCACTCCCGGTTCGCAACTCATTTCCATTCCCCTTGATGATCAGGGCAAGATGTGCCTCGGTGGCCTGCAGAACATTGGCGGCGGCGTCGATTTCAGCCTCTTTGGCACCACGTGGCAAAAGGGCAAGTATGTCATGCACGACTTTGCCAATCCTCATGCTGTTAGGCTTGGGTTTGCTATGCAGCCCGGTGCTAGCCACTAAGCGGTTTTTCTTTTCGCCCGACGCTTGTTAGACAAGATGGGAGTGTTTAATGTATATATGCATGGTGTGCGAGCGGAAAAGTTCGAACATCGCTGAAAAAAAAAACACAAGTAATGTTTTTTGGGTAAATAGAATATAATATAAGTAATGGCTTACCACCTTGATCAAATCGCAATTCTCTTCACCCAAGAAACACCGTGACTTTTGAATGTAACGGCGTCGGAAGGAAAAATCGCGAGTGCATTGTAACGAGCACAATGTTGCTGTAATACATGGGGTCAAGGATCGTATGATCGCGCTTGTGTAACAACTCCGTCCCCTCTTTCTTGCCATGTGATCATGTCACAATATCTTTTTACGGGGACGGCGGATCGTCCCTTTCCCCCTCTCCGCCTCACTCATGACATGATGAATAACCGAACTCCACAACACCACAAGTCACAGCGTTTCTTCATTGCACGAACAAACAAAGAGTCATGTCGGAACTAAACTTGATAACTTTGATTGAAAATATTACATTGCTAAAAGGTATACAGCATTTTACACATTCTGCTCGTTGATGAAAAGACCAGCCATTCCCATACCAGTACCAATGCACATACTGGTGAGGAGAACCTTCTTCTTTTGCCTCCTGCACTCGCTGAGACCAGTGACGATTTGTCGGGCACCTGTGCATCCAAGAGGATGACCAAGAGCAATAGCACCACCGCGGACGTTGAGCTTGGAGTGGTCGATCTTGAGAGTCTCAAGGCAGTATACGGCCATGGAGGCGAAAGCCTCGTTGATCTCGATGAGGTCGACGTCGTCGAGGGTGATATTGAACTTGGTGAGGAGCTTGGGGATGGCGACGGATGGGCCGATGCCCATGATTCTTGGGGCGAGGCCGGCGACGGTGGCGCCGATGTACTTGGCCATGATAGGCTGGCCGAGCTTCTCGGCGGTGGAGCGCTTCATGAGGAGGACGGCGGCGCATCCGTCGGTGAGTTGGGAGGAGTTGCCAGCGTGTGACTTGTCGCCGTGGGGCAGGAAGGCGGGCTTGACCTTTTGCAGGCTCTCGAAGGTGGTGCCGGGTCGGATGCCCTCGTCCTTTGTGAGGGTGACGGTCTTCTCTTCGCCAGTCTTGGGGTCCTTGACAACAGTGGTGATGGGCACAATCTCGTCGTCGAACCAGCCGGCCTTTTGGGCAGCCTCGGCCCTTCGGTATGACTCTGCGGCAAATCTGTCCTGGCGCTCACGCGAGATGTTGAAGTCGTTGCCGACGTTCTCTGATGTCTGACCCATGGGCTGCATGCAGTCGCATGCCTCTTGGTTCTCGAGGACCTCAGCAACAAACGGCCTCTCGAGCCTGTCTCCACCCACGGTCATACTCTCGGCGCCAACGGCCAGACCAATCTCAATGCTACCGACGGAGATCTGGTTGGCAATGTCCTGCACTGCCTTAAGACCAGACGAGCAGAAGCGGTTGAGGGATGAGCCGGCGGTGGTGTTGGGGAAGCCTGCGGCGAGCATGGCGGCGCGGATATAGTAGGCAGCCTTCGCATCGGAGACATTGCCCAGGCAAATGTCTTCTACAAGGGCGGGATCGAGGTTGGACTTTGCGACCACCTGCTTCAGTGTCTTTACGAGGATGCCATCGAGCGTGGTGTCCTTGAAACCACCCTTGTGGGCCTTTGTGAGAGGTGTGCGGATGGCGAGGGTGATGACAATGTCGTCGGGGTTCTTGGTGGTGCTATCGAGACATTGTCAGCGATTGTTCTTTTAGTGGCGCATCGTGTTATCTTACAGTGCCGCCAGACCGCCGGTTGAGGGCGTCAGTTGGTTGACAATGGACTTGAGACGGTCAGTCATGATGATTGTGTGAAAGAAGGATGGGTATAGGAAGTGGACGGCAAGGTAAAGACAAAGACTGAGGCGATAGGAGAAAGAGACGGATTGTCGAGGCGGAGACGCACCTCTTAACTCTACTTGTGGGGCGTGCGCGAGAGCATGTTGAGCCGAGGATCTCGGAGGCACTTCGCCTAGTCACGTTGCCGTCGGTAATCAATGCCATGGCAACTCCGGCTGCCCCATCAATGTGCATACTCCATACATACCGGGCATAGTAATCATATCGCCACGGTAATACCAGAGCCATGGTAACAAACCGTCACTCCCATGTGCATGCAGCCACAGCCGTGTGGGACTCGTGCGGACCTTTTGGAGAAAATGATTGCGCCGCCAACTGCTGCTCTGTCGGCCAACTGCCACTGCTCACGGCTCTTCCCGCCCCACATTTTGCCACGGCCATCGTGCGTGGAGACATGGCGGCCCACTTCCCCAACCTCACATAACCACTGCTTTACCCAGCCATGAAATATGGTTGGTGGAGCTAACATCAGGATACGGTTCCGGAGTTTATGAGGGGTGATGGACCTGGCACCAGATTGCTTGTTTCAACCTCAACATTGCCCGATACCAACGCCGCAAGACTTCACATCTCACGCGACACGGACGCCATCTTCTCATAGTCCAAAGAAAGAGAGAAAAAAAATCAATGTAATTATCAACATGATGAATTTGTTACCAACTCTAGAATTACCGCCATGAGTCGTTTCTCCAAAAGAACCCCTCCCAATCCCCCAGCCCACGCAATCCAACCAAAAAAAATATCACAGTAAAATTACATTTCCATTCCCACGTCCACCTAAATAAAAGCCGCCAACATGGCTCCCAAAAACGCAACTCCAGTACCCATATCCAAACGTCCCGCACTACCAGTCATATTTCCCATGTTCATCAGGCCCATCGCACTGCCCGTCGACATGGGCATAACCGAACCATCCGACATGGTCATCATACCCGATCCCATAGACCCGGACATGGACGCTCCAGATGTGCTAGCTGGCCCATCGTTCCATGCCATCGTAACATCCGCCCTCGACGGCGTGGGCATAGGGACCATAGACATGGACATGGACGACATGGATGACATGGACATGGACATTGAAGTTGTTGCCGCCGAGGAAGAAGTCGACGACGCCGTTGATTGAGCGAGAGCGAGGGGTGCAAAGAGCGCGATGGCGGCGACGGTGAAGCTTGAGGCGAGCATTTTCGATATTCGGTTTACTTGGATTTTCGTGTTGTTGAAGTTGAAGATAGCGAGACGAAAGGTAGTAGCGTTGAGTCCGGCTCGGTAACAAGAGTAAATCACTCCAAGAATAAAAGATATATACACGATCGAGAAGGGTAAGATGCGGGAAACACTCAGGACACGGCGGAGCTTAAGAAACGCGTAGATTGGGTTTATATATACTTTACAAATACGCAAGTTAAGGTTCGCTTCATGCGGGTTCGCAGTGTCGTACGCTGCGATTGCAGCCAATGCTGTGGAGAATGCTACATGCCACAAAACGCGTTGCACCTGTCAGTGTTTCCTCCTCCTTTCGCTCGCTCGTTGACGCTCCTCATAGCCACTATGACTAACGCCCGGAAACCATGCCCTCCGTTTTGAACGGAGTGACTGAACGCTCGTTTCAACCGCCCGTCGGAACACTGCAGGGCCGGACCCACACAAGGAAGAGAAGACACAGAGAGACAGGGAGTACGTTCAAGGCATGAAAAAAGGACAGTGTAAGAAAGTGTGTTTCGGAGGCGCTGCGGATTAAACAGCCAGCTGCGCCGAAACGGGGGTCGTGGTGGTGCGGACTAAACTGTGTGCGGATTGGCTGAAACGGAAGATGCGTGTGGTTGGTTCGCGTCCGCGCGTTGGTCTGGAGTTTGTCGCGACTTCAATTGTTCCCATGGCTGGTGTGATTGAGCGACGACGCTGATTTCGCGCAACGAAATGTCGTTCTGGTATACTGATTTGGGTGCTGTAGATACGCTGAGACTATTTGGGTGATAGGAAAAGCCAGTGGAGTAGCATATATGTCGGCTTGGGTGGGTGTGGGGAGGACAGGTGACGGATCCAACAAGCGTGAGACTGATGCGCGACTGACATGCTGGAGACGTTTACTGTGGCAGCTCTATTGGAATACGGGAAATAGCGCTTTTCTAGGGTGATTACTCGACGGTTGTTCTGGATCGTCGGCTTTCGAGGTTGGGTGGGGCGCGTGATACACGGTGGAGTCTCATGTTTAAGGTATCAAGGCAACGCGGATAAACATGCGGAAAGATCGCTTCGTATACGATCTGAGGGCTATCCGCTATTTCCGTGTGTCTCGATGGGGCTTGCCAGTCGAAGTGGTAAAGACGCCGGTATGGTAAGGCGGCGCGGTACGACCGGAGCTTGACATTCGACTGCTGGAGTGCTCAACCATTCCTCCAGATTAATGCATGATTGTAGATTTATCTCATATGATATTCTATCCGGTACATGTTATCATCTATACGTTCTTCTCACTCTTACTTCACTTCTTTCGCCTGTCCAACCGCTGCCTCATCTTCTCAAAGTCAGATAATACTTTATCTATTTTGGTCTCCTTTTATCCCTCCACTTGTTCTAACGTGTATATCATCTTTCCCTATTGCATAGTATTCCATTTGAATACAATCATCTTGCAAGATAGCCACTAACAATGCTATTGTCCTCTCCCCACCCCTCCTCGACAATGCTCTGATGTCCTCCTCCTCTCTTCATTCTATTCTTGATTATCGTCTTTTATGTGTTTGTTTGCTGCGAAAAAAAGATATATCCATCATTTTTGGTGAGAAAATCGATACCCGCTCGTTGTTGAGGCGTCCCGGTCTATATGTTCTGAAAAGATCTCGACGACGCTCCGCGCAAGTCAGTAGCGCATCACGATTTCTCAGATTTAGACATAAGTCTTGTAAGATTGAATTTACTAAAAGGTGGTGACAGTATTATCATAAACAATATCGGTCTTAACCACAAGCTTCGCGTTAACAGCGTCACTTCCCAAAGTCACATCGGTCACTGACAATTTCCATATCTCCAACGTCACTTAGCATTGTAAAGGCCGCAGAACATAATTTCATTGTGCAAAACTACCCATACCATGTACACAAAATATAAGGAGCATCTCGATCTTTTACTCTGTTGCCCTGGTCAACTAGGCAAATACCATAGGGCTGCAGAAACAAGGCCCCGCCCCGTCACCAACTCACCCTGCTTATCTCCGATACCCCACAAACTAGTATCAATCCCTTTGCGCCTGACAGAGCACAAGGCAAGAGTGGGTCCTGTTCACAGGGCTGGCGGGTCTAAGGCATCCACAATGGGTACTCGCGTGGCAGTGAAAGGTTTAGTTCCCAAAGCGACGGGTCTAGATGGTACCCGTGATCTTCGATCCGCTGCCTTGGCACCCGTTTCCCCGCAAGAACTCTCAGATCTAACCGCTGCGGTTGTTTGCCCTGGTGCTTAGACCAACCTGTGAGGCTCCAATCCCTTGGCAGAAGGGCGTGGAAGTCTGTATAGGGGAGTTAGAGGGAGACTAGTGGCCACGCGCAAGGTACCAAGTTGATGCAATTGGGTGACTGTTGTCCGCGTGGGGGATTAATCTGCTCAATCAATTCAGTCTGTGTCGTCACAAAAGAATCAAACGCTCACCATACCGGCCCAAGCGTCCTGTTCTCAAGACGTTCTACTCTCTATAAAATATCCCTCCACTACAACCATTACCTCGCAACAACTCTGGTTGAGTCGCTCAAGACACTCAAAATCCCTCTATTCTGGTAGGTACAGTCTTTAGTGTTTATTTATCTGGCGTTTTTTTCTTTATCTCCTTCTGTTTTTGAGACAACAACTGGGAAGAATTGTTGTCATTAACTACCAGAAGCAATCATGGCGATGATTGCAAAGAACAACGCGTTTGGTACTGGAGCACCCAGTTGGGACCTTTCGTTCCCAGCTGGTGCACTTACCGCGGCTGAGATCACTGCGTATTGTCCGCATTGGTTGAAGTCTATCGATATCATCAACAGGTTCTTATGTCATGGAGCCCGTACCATTCACATAGCAGCTTTGCTGAATGAGTTCCGGAACTTTCCTGACGATAGAGTATTCAACACCAACTCAACCTTGGTGATGATGTCGTACGCCATGCGGAAGGCAGGTTTCGACGGGTGGACTGTGACGAAGCACTTTGACTTCACACGCGACCACTTCCTCCCAGAGAGCGGTCTCAACGTCACGAACTTCCGAACTCCTTGCATGACTCAGCCCAGGAATGCTACTTCACAGGGATCAAACCATTCCATCAATCAAGGTGTGCGCCCGGTAGCATTCAAGGACTTGGCCAAACATGTCAAGAAGCACCCATCCGGAGACGACGCGCTCGATCTTGCACGATGCGTGCAATACGCAGTTGAGCACCTAGACGAGGTGTGGCTGTTCCCAATAGACTTCCAACGCCTCACTGCACACCTTGGTGGGCCAGCAACTATCACGCCCGCCCATCTCGACGAGCAGGTGTTCGCTCGTCGCGACGACATCAAATTTCCTGCCACAAAGCGCAAGAGGTCCGCTGCCATCAAACCGACCTCCAACAACAAGCAGCCAAGCAGCAAACCACCTACCAAAATGCGTAAGTTTATCAACGTATTGTCGACGTCAGGCCCATCGCAGCCACGAAAGCGAGGAAACGACCACCTTTCCAAGGACACCAACTCTGCTGACGGGTATGAGGATGGTCACGAAGTACGTACAAGCACTGATCGTTCCAACTCAAGCCATCACTGACATCGTGTCAAGGAGAATGAACCGTTCGGACAGCTTGCCAAGAAGCGCAAGCTCCCCCGTGGACGCTCAATGTTCAACTCATACGTCAACGACGATGAGTTTCTCCCCGATGAGGCTGGTACAAATGGCAATATCCCGACGAGAGACTTCAGCGCACCTGAGCAGGACGAGCTGCCTCAGAGTGAGGTCGATAGGAGCATCACTCTACGCAAGGCTCGTGAGGGAAAGCGGGCAGCTGTCGAACCCGACACTGCTGCTCCTCAGCCCGATGTCGAGCCCAATCTTGGATCTCCCCAGTTTTGCTTCTTAGACTATGATCCAGTGCTGAACTATTTTCCAAGTGCTGATCGTCAGAACAAAATCGCACCCAGCTGTGGTCAGCAGTCTAGCGTAGCATCCGGCTACGCCCAACAATCCAACGTTGCATCTGGACATGAACAGAGGTCCAGTTTCGCAAAAGTCCGCAACCAGCCGTCCAACCTTGCGCCCAACAACGGCCAGCAGCGAAACTTTTATCCCGCCTGTGGTCAGAGTTTTGATATCTCATCCACTTATATTCAACCATCTCGCCACTCATCCGGCCACGACCAGCAACCTTCTTTCCCATCTGGTCACCCTCAAAAGGCTGATCTCACAACTGGCTATGGCCAGAGACTCAATTCCATTCTCGGCCCCGATCAACAGCTCAATCTTCCTCCTGCTTATGGCCAGCAGACGAACTTGTCATCCACTTCTGCTCAACAGCCCGTCTTGCCATTCAATCATAGCTGGCAGCCAATTTCGATGCCCGATCATATTCAGCAGTCTTTTGTGATTGGAAATGGTCAACCATCGACCTTCACAACCGGGCACTGCCAGAATTCCGATCCCGCATGCAACGCCAACCAAAAGTCGATTTTTGCGCCCGGCTATGACCCGATGGAGCCCAACTTCGCACCCAACTTTAGTTCATCGCAGTTAGACTCGCAGTTCGACTTTGTACCTAAGGAATATGAGCAACCGCTCAGTCTCGATTCGACCTCTGGCCAAGTCCCATTGGACATCGCACCGATTTTGGATCCAAATCAATCAAGCTTCGCACCAATCCTCGATCAAATTCCACCGGGTTCCAATCCCTCTTTTGACCAAAAATCAAGCGATTTCAACCCCAGTCCCGCTGCTCAGCAAGCTGAACTTTCTGAGTAAGTCCTCCCCACCTCACCCATTCTCTCCTCACTAACAATTCCCCTTCCAGTCTTTTTGAGCAATATATACAGCAATACACAGAATCAGACGTACAACTCAACACTGCCACAACCGCTGTCGCCGATACTGCCGCCACCGACTCCACCATCGCGAACACCCTCCCCGCCCTCCTCACGCCTCCCATTCAGCCCGCCAACCACCTCCAGATAACCGAACAAAACCTTCATAACTACGCCCGCCGCCCTTTCATTAACATAAGTGACATGTGGAATACCGCCTTGGACTATATGCGCTTCGACGGTCCCCGCCAGTCCGCTCCCTATCGTGAATTGCACACCTTGGGCGAACTCAACAAAAACGACATTAGCGACTGGGCCGAAAACATCCGCTTTGCCCGAGAGCAATGGGTTCAGTTCGGAACTATCTGGACGGAATTCGAAGGCCACCTGGAGAAGATCAGGAAGGCCAGGTTGGATTGGGGCTGGAAGAGCCCGGAGGCCATTCGCGTGGATGCGAACAAGGCCTCTCAGGCCGCGTGAGAGTCTGGACACCTTCTTTCTTTCTTTCTTCTTTCTTAATTTGTTTGCCCACAATGTTTTCCGATGTTTTCTCAATCTTTCTCCCGTCTTGCGGTTTGTATAGACGAAGACCATAATGTTTGGGTACGATTTCCTACAATGTTTTTTTTTCTTTATTTCCTTACATTTCTCCCGTCCTTTGCGCTTTGCAAGGACGATGATTACTATGTCACGCTGCGATGGCGGCGTTTTCCTATCTCTCTAGTAATTGTTCTCGGGATGCATATGGCGTTTGGGGGCTTTGAATGTATGGGGGGAGGTTCATTGTTTTATGTTTCTTTTGTTTTGTTTGGCGATGGGTGTACGGTATTCCCCTTGGGCGATGTGATTTTCTTGCGATTGGATTTTCTTTGCGATTGGATTTTCTTTGCGATTGGACTTTTTTTGTAATTGGATTTTTAAGCGATATATTTCTGGATTTGAGATACTCAGGGGATTTGCATACCGATAGTTACTGGTGTTTGTTTTTAATACACTTTTCCATGTACACTTAATGCCTCCCCTGCCGCTCCCTCTGCCACTGTTCCAATTCCTTCTGTCTCTGCCACTGCTCCAATTCCTTCTGCCTCTGCTCCCACTCCCTCCTCCTCTTGTCCCTCTCCAACTCTGCGTACTTCTTTACGTCCTCCGGGAACGTCGCAAAATGCCACCAATTCTCCTTTGCAAAGGTAATCGCAAGCGCAAGCTCACACTCTCTATCCTGTGGCATCATCCGATTTGCGAGTAGGCTCTTTAGATACGGGTCTGGGCGCTCGCCGCTACTCCAGTCCAGAGGTATCAGTTGGAGGACTTCCAAATAGTGGCGGTAATTTGCGCTAATGTCTGCGCGGAGTTCTTGTCTGCGTGCTTCGCGGCGTTTGCGGAGTTCCTCGGCCGTGGGTTGAGGGGAAGTAGGAACCCTAGGAGCGGCGGGAGCGATGGGGGCGTTGTAGGTGCTAGTAGGACCAGTGGAAGTGGTATGGCTATTACTGACAGCAGTGCGAATGGTGCGGGTAGTAGCAGGAGCATTAGATGTGATATTTCCGGAAGCGGGAGCATTGAATGTGGTTTGCGTGGTGTTAATGAATGAGAAGGCATGCTCCTGTGAGGCCCTTGTAGGTGGCTGGGGTTGTTGAATGATCGAAAAACCTCCGGTGGAAGGATAATATTGATCAGATACAGCAGGGTTTTGGGGTTCTGGTGCAAGAGTGGTTGGACTCCCTGATAGCTGTGTGTGCTGAGGTTGAGAGACTGAGGGAGAGCCCTGCGTGGAAGTACTGGAGTGACTGAGTCTTTGATTCTTCCCTTTGCTAAGTATAGGCCGAAGTGGTGGGGCCATTGTTAATTGATATCGATAAGGGCCATGAAATGAAGCTCTATACGGTGTTAATGAAAAGTCGAGTTCAAATACATGCGCGGCGGTGGTGAGATGGGAGAGAGACGGACGATAGAGCGAATTTGTAGGCACTAGCACGCTGCGCTGCGTGTCGTTGTTGCAACCATAATTTGTTACTGTCTTGCCTCAACCGTAATTCGCTATTACTGCCTTCGTCGTAACCGCAGTTCGCTGTTGCTGCCTTTGTCGTAACTTCATTCCGCTGTTACTACCTTCGTCGCGGCCGCATTTTGGTTGCCGTACCCAATGAATGTGCCTAATAGGCATATACTTGTTAAGAGGTGAAATTCTAGTAGTACTGCTAAACCACATTTACTTGAACTGTAATGTCAATATTTTGATACCTGATTGCGGCAGGTTGGGGCGTAGCCTACTATTCTTTTCTGAGATAATTGATCTGATACGCTACATAGCAAACAGGTATAAAAAATTCAAGTAAGTAGAAATTACTACACATCTGCGCAAGAAGGCCTCATAGCTTAACCTTCTTCTGATCCCTGATTTCCTGGGCCATTCTGACCATCGCATACAAGCTCTGCAACCTTGGCATCTCATAACCCCTCTCCCTAGCAATCCTCAATGGGTTTCCTAGGATCACCTCAATCTCCATCCTCTTTCCCGCTTCCCAGTCGATTGCCATACTGGGCTTGCTGCCACTCGTATTCTTCAACGTAGACTTGATGATTTGGTCGGGGGTGGCGAATTCCTTGGGCATGGGCTGGCCGAGAATCTTGGGTGCGGTCTCGAGGATTTCGGTCATGACGCCCTTGAGATGGCGCTGTACTTCGGGGTCTTGTGACATGAGGTTGTTTGGAGAGCAGAGAATGAGCACAGAGGTTGGGTTCATGGACGCATTGATGGCAATTTTATGCCAACGGACCAACTGAAGCTTCGCATGTGAATAAGCCTCGGCATCTTTAATGCCTCCTTCCTTCAATAGCGCGATGAAAGCGTCGTTTTGTTCAACGATACGTGAATCAGTGTCTTTGGCTGCTCCCGTGTCGAGATGGGGTAGGTAGGGTCCACTGTTGATGCGCGTCCATCTATTATGCTTGATGAGACCATGTTCTGGCTGTGCACAGGTTGCTATTGTGACAGCCGAGCAAATGGCGGCTTGTGGGAAGCGCTTTGCGTATGGGTCCTCAACGCCCAGGCCGTTTTGTATCAACACAATGGCGGTCTTGTCGCTAACGAGGCCTTCCAGTATCGCCGAGTCGTCGCTTACGTCCGGTAGCGCCTTGGTGCTCACAACGACATAGTCCCATTGGATTGCGCTCTTTCGCGCTTCTTCGGGGTTCGCAAAAGTGTGTGCTGGTGTGAACGTGTAGTCGCCATACTGAGGAGACGTGACTTTGAAGCCATCCGCTTTAACTGCCTTGTAGTTGGAGCGGCAAATCACCGAAACCGAGGTACCAGGTACCAGTGCGAGGCGTGATGCATAAAAGGCTCCGATGGCGCCAGCGCCGACTATGAGGATGTTTACAGACATTGTCAGGTTGGTTGTAGTGGGAGAGCTGTCCACGTCCGTGTCTGAGGCGTTGGAGCTGTCTTATCGATAAGTACGAACGAGTTTAGCCTCGGTATCTTGACTCGGCAATCCAGCCAAGCTTTGATAACGACTATGTAAATGTTAACTGCCTCTTATTCTTTGCTGACATGTGTTTCGTCCCTGGAAAATTCCAAGATACTTGAAAATCCCATCATTGGCTCAGTCGCTTCCATTCAGTTTCGAAGCTTTCTGACATCTTACATTTGTTTTTGAATAATGAGCTGAGATGACGATTGAAACTCCAGTTTGAAGCTAGGGACGCTACAGATACGCATCACCCAGGATACTTGTTTCATCACCTTGAATTTCCATTCTGTCAAGTTCCCATGATGGGCCTGTACAGCTCTATAGAGCTATTCTTTGACAACGTTCTTCCCACTCTCACTTCATTTCAGTACGGCTATCTCAGTCAGGCTTCCATCTTATTAGACTTGTTATTGTCTTTGATTCGCATAGCTGATGGTCGTTCTTGGGCCGCAAGGGCTACAATTAGAGTTTTTATGTGAGTCTCTCAGCAAGTTTTGCAGTTGCACAAATGAAAACCTTTTGTGCAAATATAATAGACGAGGGCGAAGTAGAGTTCCTTGAGTATCGTTTCTAGTAGAGAAGCATTGACGCATCTAGCTAAACATTTATTATTATTTTCTCGATATTGATCTGTAAAAGAGGGAGATTTCGGTCCACTCGTACAGCAAAGCCTCTTGCAAAACTTGAAACTGCGAGAAGTATGATAGAACAATGTTCTAATGATTGATATGTTGGTTTTCAGGTGAGTGAAACGAGACGGCGGCTTTGTCACACGAGTTCAGTGTCCACTCGACAATATGGTAAGAGTATTTAGTGAGTTACCGTGACTTGCGACGTAACCAAGGTCAACATAATCGATCTTGATCTCAATCAATCGTCGTTTGGCTGACGAACGTCTAGGCCTCTGCTCAAATAACACAACGATTTTCGCTATGCACAAGAGAACCAAGGATACACGGATAGGGCTAAAGGAACTTCTAATAGACCATAAGAATTTGGTATACATAGCCAGGACGACTATCGGGGCGGTCCATTACTGAGAAATTGGTTAAGCAACAAGCAGTTCTCCAGCCATCCTTAGGGTACGCAAGCGGATTTTTTAACATCGGCAAACGGAGCGCTGATAACAGACGTCCAGTGATCATACCACATGAGTATTGCAAACGGGCTATTCACGGATCATTTTAGGATATATTGCCCAATTCACTTTCACCACCTCACCCTCATTGACCGTGAGTCAAAGTCACGGCGACCGCGTACGCACAAACGCCGCAGGCTTCTCATCAAATACTTTGCCTCTCCGAGTCTCTTCTACACCTTTCTCTGCACCGATTGTTCACCAACATGAGCCCAACGAAAACGGAAAACAACGAGACATCTCCCCAGGATTTATTCCAATCAACCCTATCGTTCTTTCCTGAGAATCTCTCCCAGCTTATGTTGGAGAACGGAGAACCTTCACACGATGCTTCTTCAATCCTAGCCGACGAAGTGGAAGATGTTAGGCCCTGCAGCCAAGCACTCAGTCTCGGATTGCCACCTCTTCGGATGATCAGCAACAGTGCTCAGAACAATAGCCAGCTTCGCGATGCCAGGCTGGCAGACTACTTCTCACCAAATCCACAGTAAGACACTCTTTTCCTTGTACTTATCCCTTCCGTCTCCGCAAATCACGACATCTATGGTGAAGTCCATGTCTGCTTCCATTTCGAGATCTATGTCGGAAAAGGTCTATGCTGGCTTTTCGAGGTTCGATCATCAACGGATTATCAAATGATTAATGGGTGCAAATTGACAAAAAAGGTGAAGTATAGAGTGTGGGAGAGCAGCGTTTGCATGTCCGTAGTGACATCAACTTTGCTGCCAAGGGCGGTTGCCATGGCAGACTGCAAACACGAGAGTGCTGACCAGTTCAATAGCGGTGGACAGCCTCCTGCCTACCATCCCATGAATGAACAAGGTAAGTCTTCTCAGTCCGTACTTCTACTAGCGAGAGTGTTGGTTCACTGACTGACACTCCACAGAGCAAGCTCGCAACCCGGCGAAACCTCAGCATAGCTCCCAGACGTTCCAGAACACGGTGGATAGGATGGCTCCAGAGATGGCTAATCTCAAGAAGAACGTCAGCACCTTCACGCAAAACTTCAACAGCTTCGCGCAGGCCCAAACACAACTGATCAACACATTGAACGCACGTCTCGTCAAGGCCGAAAATGAGCGGGACCGTCTCCGGGCAGCCCTCTCTCAGTATCAGCACCAGCACCAGCAGTTCGGTAGTCATATGGCCACACCCCAAGCTGCTCCCGAGTTTGGCAGTCGTATGACTACACCGCAGACCGCGCCCGAGAGCAATGCTTCCTTCTTCCCTGGAGTCGAATACGCACAAATATCTAGCCCCATCACTTCCTCCAAACCACTTCAAGAGATCAAGCCCTACTACAGCAGTCCCATCCAACACAGCACCAGCTCAACCCCCTTCGGCTCCAAGCTCACCGGCACCAAACGCCCCAAGAGCGAAAAAACCAAAGCTCGTAAAGTCTTGAAAATCAAAGTCCCAGGTCAACTCACCACAGGTCACCACCATCACCACTCCACCACCAGCAACAGCAACGGCAACGGCAACAGCACCAGCACCACCCACACCCTCACCTCGCCCCTAACCCCCGGCCGCATCGGCCCCCCAACCCCACACCCACCCCGCTCCACAACCATAATCTCCAAACGCAAAATCCACAACCTGGAAAAACTCCTTCCCGCGGCCTCTGCCCTGATCCCCCTCATGCCCCTCACCGACACGGAAATAATCGTCTACTTCTTCCAATCCCTCGCGCGCCCCGTCGTCTCCCTCCGACTCTACGCACGAAACTGGGGTCCGTCCAACATCTGCGACACGCTCAATGCGCACCGCAACATCGCAGGCGGCTACCTGCGCAACACGGCGAGCGTAAAGTGCACGACGGCCATTAAGCGCGGGAAAGAGCGCTTCGGCGAGGCGTGGGCGGATGAGCTGCGCGATGTTTTTGCGCATGCGGATGATGTGCAGGCGACGGATTTGATGCAGTTGAGTGCCGAGGAGAGCGAGGTCGCGACGGATTTTAGGGTCAGGGATTTGAGTAGGGAGTTGAAGATGCATCCAAGGATGGGCGTTGATGGCGGGGTCTTCACCGAGTGTGTCAAGTGGTGTGTGGAGAGGAGGGCGGGGTATACGCTTGCGAATGTGCATGAGTTGGCGATGGCGTTGAGGAAGGGGGAGGAGCCGGATTTGAGGGAGGAGAGTGAGGACGAGGACGAGGATGAGGATGAGGATGAGGAGAAGGATGCGTGAGGGTTTGCTGGTTCACTTTGGAAGGTTCGTTCTCCTTGGTCGACGGCCTTGGTGCTTCTTGAGATCGAGACTGGTCAGTCTCTTGTCTTGTCTTGTCTTGTTTTGTTCTTTTCCCTTTTCACTATCCGTTGCTACGCCTGAGCTGGCAATGATAATTGTAATGGCAGGTGGGAATTTGTTCGGGGTTTAGATGTAATGTAGGATCCATAAGAATAGCAATGCATGCATAATGACCACGGAAATATACCAAGAGAGGAAATCGTTGATTGAAGAGGGTTGTGAATACTTTTTTTTTAGAATACTTACAAGTCCGTCAATCAGTATTTCCCAAGACGAAAAAGGACATGGAGGAAACTAATCTTGCCATATCCTTCCGGACTCTCATACCGTCCCTCCCACACATCCATCAACCCATAAGCATCATCAGCATACCACCCTTACCCGCATCTTTATCCACGCCCTTGTTCGGTCCCACAGGGCTCGTAGCAGCAAAGAACAGCACCTTAATCGCAATCGCAAACCCAGCATGCAGCACAACGACCACAACGAGCAGAATCTTAGACGTCTTCGCCTCAGTAGTGCTAAGCACCGGGTAAAGATTCCTCAGAAGAAACGCAGCGCTAAACGCAAGACCGACCGCTACAACTGTAAAGTTGAGAACTGTTTCATCATTAGTCCTTGATGCAAAACCAGAAAGAACGAAAAAAAAAAGACAAAAGACTTACTCGCCCACGGACTCCACGCAACCAGCGCAACCGCAATCCACACCAAATTCGCATACCCATAAAGACAACAGCACTCGAGCAAATTCGCACTCTCGCTCCCATACCACTTGAGCACCCCCCAAAGTCCCACAGGGACAAACGCCGTATACCCATATACCAGTCCCGCAGCCCCGCTCAGCAACTTAAAATCATACGCAAAATGCTCCTCGCCCTTGAGCGCCAGGTACTGATTAATCGTTCCGGTCAAGAACAAGATAACAACAACGGTAGTAGCGATCCATACGGGGCCGTACAGATCCGGGTTTCCCTCTAGGACGTCGAGGAAGTTGGCGCGCGGGTAAATGGTTGCGACACAGCGGCGCAGGACCTCAGCGGTGTCGACGTCGAAGGCTTGGGCGTAGAAGTTTAGGGACCAGAGGTAATGCTTGCGGCCTCCACTACTACCGCTATTGTCGCCGGCGGCGGCGGGACCCGGGAGGAAAGAGGTAGAAGTGGAGTCGGGTTGGATTTTGGGGGCGCCGCGGCCGGACGAGGGTTGGGTGTCGAAATCTGAGGAGGAGGAGGAAGTTGTTAGTGGGGGTGGGAATTGGAGAATGCAGGAATTGATTGCCTTACTGGAACTATGGAATTCGAGGTCTTCTTGTAAGTCTGTGTGGCCTAAGTCACCCTGTTGGAGTGACTTGTCAGCCTGCGCATTGTGAGGAGCATGTTGCTCAGAAAGAGCATGCAAATCAGACGCACCTCTTGGTCCACATCAACGACAACATCGTATCCTCGATTCGCCATGTCTCGTCGCTGTTTTGCTTCTTTCTGAAGCACTGGTATCGTGTGTCGCGGCGGAGCTTTCGTCGCAGAGCGGCCAGATTGCCCAGATTGACGTCGCGCGTCGTAGTACGCGACCCGTGCGTAAGCTGGTCCTGCTGGGGTGTGGGGGGGCTATACTTGATTCGGAGCAGGCATAGTTCAGGGTCTAACGGTCGCCGCTCGCTCCCCATCAATTGTCAGAGTGCCTGCCATCACGAAGGCATTATGTTGCTTTCACCTGTTCCTGCAGTATTCTACTATCAATAATTCCCTGGCTGTTTCCGGAAAGCGCATGATTCCACTATAGTGCCACTCTCTACAAAGCGTAACACTTTTCGGCGAACCCTCAGACACAAGAATATTCACCGTAAGTACCGCTCTACAACTATGCCTATACAATGCTCTATTGTTATCAACTTACTCTATCAGGTCACTTGCCGTGCGCCGATGGAGGGTTTTATTCCGGTCTCCACCCTGAATCATAAAGGCATCTGAGGGAGAGCGTGGATGGGGGCGTTTTTACGGAGCAAAACATGCAGTACTCTACGGACGGTGGCACAGACTACAATCATTGTTCATGACATATGTATTTCATTCATGATTACCATTGTAAGGTGTATGAAAACCAAAACAAGTCTAAGACTCTAGCTGCATAGTCTTGTAACATCTACAATAGACGGCCTGCCTGCTTTTCGTCCCAGATCCTATTTATGGGGCTGGCTCGCTCTTGACCTGCAGAGGCTCCACGTTCCAGATAGCCTCTGCATACTCGTCAATGCATCTATCACTCGAGAAGAAGCCCATGCGAGCAACAGTAGTGATGGTCTTGGTGGTCCACTCTTCGGTGTTTTTGAAGCTCTCGTCAATGAGCTCCTGCGTCTGGACGTACGACGCAAAGTCGTCGGATACAAGGTAGTAGTCGCCATGGTCAACAATGCCATTGACGAGCGCAGAGAACTGGTCGGCGTCGCCAAAAGTGTTGTTTCGAATGGCATCAAAAACATTGGCAAGCGAAGGGTCCAGTTTGTACTGAGAGTACATGTGTGCGTGACGAAGGTCCTCGACGTCTTCGGCCAAGTTACCGAAAAGGAAGATGTTCTGGTCGCCAATCTCACGGGTGATCTCAATCTATTCAAAGGTCAGACGAGCTTAAGCGCAAACTTTGTATACAAACTTACATTGGCACCATCACATGTTCCAATAATGAGACCACCGTTGAGGCAGAACTTCATGTTACTGGTACCAGACGCCTCAGTACCAGCCGTCGAGATGTGCTCGCTAATGTCGCTAGCAGGGCAGATTATCTCTGCTTTGCTGACATTGTAGTCGGCCAAGTAAATGACCTTGAGGGCATCGCCAACATCCTTGTCATTGTTGACAACCTCACCAACCTTGTTGATGAGGTGGATGACGGTCTTGGCCATCCAGTATCCGGGAGCAGCCTTGCCACCAAAGATCGATACACGAGGCGTTAGCTTCTGGCGCTCCTCAGGGGACATGGCCTTGATCTGGAGGTAACGGTGAATAACACCGAAAATGTTCAATTGCTGGCGCTTGTATTCGTGGATACGCTTGACCTGGACATCGAACAACGCTGATGGGTTGACCTTGACGCCATTGTGCTCCAGAATGTGTTGTGCAAGTCGAACCTTGTTGGCGTACTTGATGTCTTGGAACTCCTTGCGGAACTCCTTGTCGTCCACATAGGCTTCGAGCTTGTTGAGTAGTGTGAGGTCCTTGAGGAACTCGTATCCGCCCAGTTTTGAGGCAATCAGTGCTGACAGCTTGGGGTTAGCCTGGTGAAGCCACCTTCGCGGAGTGATGCCGTTGGTGACATTGGTGAACTTGTCAGGACCGTAAATCTTGACAAAATCTTTGAATATGGTCGTCTTGATCAGGTCAGAGTGCAGCTCAGCTACTCCGTTGACCTTGTGTGAGCCGATCAACGCCAGGTAGGCCATGCGGACCATCTTTGGCTGCGACTCTTCAATAATGGACACACGTCCAAGCATTTCGCGTTCCTTAGGGAAAGTCCTCTCAACGAATTGGAGGAAGTTGTAGTTGATTTCATAGATGATCAAAACTGATGTCAGCAGTGTCTGAGGATGGTGTTGAATTTCAACTTACCTGAAGGTGTCGGGGAAGGAGGTGCTGCATAAGCGGGACGGACCACTTCTCAAGCGCTTCAGGCAGGACAGTATGGTTGGTGTAGCCAAACGTCTTTTGAACAACTGCGTTCTGTTAGCCTCATAGGGCGTTCATATTGATCTTGAGACTTACTGTTCCACGCATCATCCCAGTCAAGTCCCTCGATATCGACCAGTATCCTCTGGAGCTCAGGAATGGCGAGCGTTGGGTGGGTATCGTTGAGCTGGATGGCGACCTGGTTGGGGAATTCCTTCCACGCGCGCTTGCTCTTCTTGAAACGTCGGACAATGTCGTAGAGCGAGGCCGCGCACCAAAAGTATTGCTGCTTCAAGCGGAGCTCCTTACCGCGATCGAGGCTGCCCAATGTCAGTCACATGTTTGATAATGTTTGAGTATACTCACTTGTCGTTGGGGTAGAGAACCGCCGAGATGGTCTCGGCACGCTGTTGCTCGGCCACTGAGCTCTCGTACTCGCCAGAGTTGAACTTTTGGAAGTCAAACTCGCCGCTAGCCGCTTTGCTGCCCCAGAGACGAAGGTTGTTGCAAGTGCCAGTCTTGTATCCAGGTACTGGTACGTCAAAAGCAACAGCCTGAACGATCTCGCCGCCTTCCCAGGAGCTCTGCTGTTTGCCCTCGTCATCCTGCCAGCGGTTGACTTGGCCGTAGAATTGCACGTCGACGACAATATCGTGACGCTGGAACTCCCACGGGTTGAAATCGAGCCAGTAGTCTGGAACTTCGACTTGGTATCCGTCCACAATCTCCTGCTTGAAGATACCATAGCGGTAACGTAGACCGTAGCCCCAAGCTGGGTAGCTTAGCGAGGCCATTGAGTCGAGGAAGCAGGCGGCAAGACGTCCGAGACCACCGTTTCCGAGAGCAGCGTCGTGTTCTTGCGAGATGATGTCTTCCATGCGGAAGCCGAGATCGCTAAGACCCTCTGTATGAGCGTTAGGGGATGTGTGTTGCACAATTCAGGATGTCAGGCTTACTGGTGGCAGTTTCCTTTTGCTCGACATTGAGCATAGCATTGTCCAATGCGCGTCCCATGAGGAACTCAAGAGAGAGGTCTAGTCTTGTCAGCCAATTGTTTTATACCATATCATCCCGCGGCCTTCATACAGTATACACGCTTCTGATCAGCAAATGTCTGGCTCTGTTGTGTCTTGTTCCAGTCTAGGACCAGGCGGTCACGAAAAGCCAGGGCGGTTCCGGCGTAGGCGGCAGACTCATCGCAGTTGAAGAGCGAACGCGCGAGGGTCGTCTCGATGTGGCGAACGGTATCTTTCGTGAAGTCATCTGGGGTGGAGAAGGGCTTGGGCATCTATTTGGGTGATTAGTATGCACACTGACACAACGTGGAGCACTGCTTGCAAGGGATGGCGTCAAAGACCAATTGACTTACATATTTCCTCCATGCCTCACGCTGAGGCTCTGGGATACTTGCTTCGACGCTCTTGATCTCACTGGGACCAAAGCCAGTGACGGTCCTCTTGTGCTTTGGGCGGCTAAAGGCGGGTCCAATGGGTCCCTTGAGATCGGCAAGCGGGGCACTGGTTGAGGGCTTCCGCTCGCGGGGATTGGGGTTTGCAGCCATGATGGTGGGATGAAAGGGTAAGGAGGGGAAAGTGGGAGAAGAAGGTCAATGGGAGGGGGGAGATGGGAGATGGGGTGACACGACTTCACGCGAGGGAAGAGGTGAGGATCAGGCTGGCATGGCGGCAGTCTAGGGCGGATGGGATATATCAGGAGAGCAGGAGCAGGAGCGGCTAGTGGATCGCGGGGAAAGCAACGGAGCCCAGTATCCAGAGGCGCTGCTGACAGGCAGCGTCAAGCTGTTGAGCTCCGTCGCATGCATCTTGTATGCGGGCAGCTCACGAACCAGTACAAAGTGGGGTAAGCAGCAACCCCACGAACCCGTTGTCCACCACTGAGCCAGGTCGTGACAGACGACGTGCCCAATGAACCCATGCATACACGTCCCTTGGCGCGAGTGGTGTGCGTGGTAGTGTGGTAGCGTGGTGGTTCCCATGGCCACATTGGAAGGGAGCTGACGTCGACGTGCCCCTCTTGGGTTGAGATACCCCTCCATACCATGGCTTCATGTGGGCGTGTGTGTGTATGTATGTATATATATGTGTGTATGCATATGTGCCATGTGTGTGCATTGTGCGCACCATCTCTGTCATATTCCTTGCAGACAACTCTGTAAGACATCAAAAGCTTGTGTGCAATAGGAAACAGGTCGGGCCGGCTCCAAATGCTGTTTTGCTGTGGAATCGAAAAGTAATTTCACATGTCCTCATGTGGCTTGACGGTGGAGAGTGGCGCAAGCTTCCCACAACGGGACTAGTGCCGAAGGTCCGCAGCCTCGCGGTTGTGTCTGATGCATGTTTACTCACAGTCAATCAATCCAAAACACACGTGACAAGCATCCAAGTCAAAATTCAATGTCACCCTCAACGCGTTTGCCAGGCCTGAATCGAACAACACATGCTGGCACAATGTGAAAAATATGCAGTCCAAGGCAACAAAACTGGCTTTTGCAAGTCACCGACCTGCTCACTACGAATATCAATACCTGCTACTGAACTACCTCTCTACCTCTCTACCGTGGGTATTTTTTGATACATGCAAGATAACAGAGGAACACCGTCCGAAAATCCGCCCGTCTACTATATATATGTAAAAATCCACAGTGGTCCACTTTGTCGGGACCATACAGGTTGACCTGGCCGGGGCTGCCCGGCCCAATGCACGCCAAAATAACAAAACGCCCAAAGATGCGCAATGCGCGCCGTCATTAAAATGTTAGAAGCGCCGGAAGGATGGGGGTATCGTGAACAGAGCCAGCTAAATGGAATGTATGTAAGCATGTGGAATTAGACAAGGTTCGTTTCGCGTAGAAATGGCGCCGTATGCTCAGGGGCTGGGTTCTGGTGTCTGGACGCCGTGCTGCCAAATGGCTGCGCCCTGCGGCACAAAGGCCATGTTGCGTCGGCGTGGCTCCTTGCCAACAGTCTCTGTTTGGGTTGCAGAGAGCACTGGCGATGGGTTGGTTGGTTGCATGTTCTTGAGCCTGCGCTGCACCATGTCGTTGGAGATGCGCGATAGGCCATAGTCCATGTCGTGGAGTATGGCCCTCTTTGTTGCCTCGATTTGTTGCACGCTAAAGGCACCGTTGCTCTCCTTGATGCTCCAGTGCCGCGATGACCTCATCCGGTCGACAAGAAAGCCGTGTGCGAGCGATAGCGAGGCCAGTATAATAACATCCGGACTAAGACGCGCGGCAACAAAATCCCTCCAGGTGCCTGCAAAGCGGCTGCTCAAGCCGTCCAAGATGCATGCTGCAAACGCCACAATGTCGTCAGGCAGGCCGGCACGCATCAAGAAACCTTGAATGACGGATGCATGAGGGCGGTGTGTGGAGACGTTGAGCGGGACGAGGTTGGCGAGGTGGGTTGCGTAAGCTATTGATAGTACGTTAGCATTAATGCCGAGCAGAGACCAAGGCAGTTGGGACGCCGGTGTAAGCAATGGACAAAGGGATGAGCGAGGAAATCAGTTGGGAGATCGACAGGGACGCCTGGGAAGAGTGGAGCGGGGATGATGGGTTTGGATACAAGCGTGTGCAATGAGGCGACGTGGGCCAAGAAAGCATATGCAGGGAAAGTCCTATGTGCCGCCCGGTCCGACTAGGCCAGGGGAACTGGAGACGCATGTTTGGACAGGACAGAAAGGGCGGTGCAGAAGAAAACATAGGCGGGAGGGAGGGTACTGACCTAGTTGTGTTGGACAAGCAGTGACGTCGGGCGGTGGTGTTGTGCTGGCTTGTGATGATTGTGACGTCTGAAAGGTCTTGTTCCATGTTGGGGTTGATGGCCGGGCTGGAGTGGGTTCCTTAGCCGGGGGAGGGGTGGGGAGGTTCGACAGTGGGACGCAGCTCGCGAAGTACTTGTCCAGCTCCTCGTCGGTCATGTCGCTGATGTCGCTGTGCATCGAGAGTGCTGGAGAGAATTCCATTGTGTCGGTGGTGGTGGTGGTGGTAGTAGTAGTGGTAGTTGATTTTCTTTCTTTCCTTCTTTTTTCTTTGTTTGGCTGGGTTGCGCTTGTCTTGCTCTCTTTTTGTTCAGCCGTGGATGGGGTTGTGCATGTGCATGTGCATGCGCATGTAGGGTAGGCTTGTATATGTAGGTAGTATGAGCGTGTACTATTATGCATCGAGCGGGTCGCAGAGGTGGATGGCCGGAAACAGAACCAGATAGGCGGGTTTGCAATGTCGTCGGCGGGGAGAGGAGCGTAGTGAAGGAGGGCATCGAGGCAGCTATATACAGGCGCATGCATCCAGGTAATAGGGCTTGCGGCAGGCCGAGACGGTGAAAGCGGGAATGAGTAGCGCAGCTCGCTACTTAGCGGGTCCCCTGTCTCGTCAGGGCCGCAGTAGGCAATGGCGGTCTCACAGGCCAGCTCGCACTCGCCAGCCCAGCAGCACCGCAACATGGCTCCCGATGGCGTGTGCAGCTCAGCGCCAGCCCAGCAACCCAAACATGCACATGCGAACACGCCCCACGCCCGCCCACTCCCACGCTTGGTGCTGATGGCGCCAGCCCGCCCATGGCAAATGCTGCAACCCAAGTCTCCCATCTGCCACCGGCCCATGCACCCAGCACCCAGCACATCCTCCTTCATCGCTGTCAGCCTTCTTCCAGATTGCACGTGCAGCCGCACGCTGGTCGAGACCATGGCGTAACCGCATCCTCCTCCCTCGACATCCACCACGTTGATGTACGCGACAACCACTCCCATCTTGATCTGTGTCCATGTGCTTCTCCATTCGGCCGCCGCTTGAGCATGTCGATCCAGCTCGTCACGTGCTCTGCTAGCTCACATCCCATCTACTTGGTATCTTTGTACACGTCGCTCATGTCGAATACTAAACCCACACACAGACATACTACTTGTACACACACACGGGTACTACAACCCAACGTCCGCCAACCATACCCCGTGAATCACCGTCCAACCTCGTAAATCCTCGTCCCGAGAAAAAAAGCTTATGCCCTCCCGCCCGGAACGTTTAGGCCGACCCCTCCCAAGCCGCCCACGATGACCCGGGTCGCTATGGCATGCATCAGCGCTACACTACTGCGAGCACATTATTGCCATACATCCATACACCCATACATCCATACATCCATCCATTCACCTGCTTCTTCAGCCCTCGTGCGAAACATGCCACCACCGCATTCTTTACCCGCATTCTTTACCCGCATTCCCGAACCCGCAGCCTCTCTCCCGCTCTCTTACTTACACACGGCTCTTACACATGTACACACACACACACACACATGTCAGCCCTTGGCCATGACCACTGTCGAGCGCCCTGCATTAGTATTCGATAAAAAAGTATCCCGTCACGCCACGCAGCTGATGCCATCCGAGCAGCCAGCACCTGTTCCCTCACCGCCATGTCCCGTACCCGTGAGCACGTACACACGGCGCGGTACGCTACTAGTCGCGAATACGGCTGCGTCGGTTCCCTTCTATCTCTGTATCTTCCCAAGCCTTGTCCGGACAAAAAGGGGGGCTTGCCTCACCAAAAGTGTGCCGCAAACCCCACATCCAAGCTCTGGGGCGCAGCACTTTCTAAACCTTCTTTAGCTCATTACCCGCTCCTCCTTACAGCAAAGTGTCCCACTCGCCACAAACCATGTTCTGATCTCTCATGAGTCGCTACTTATTGTTTGCCAAACACAAAAATAACGACCAATTCGTCACTTGGCTCCGAGCGCTCGGATGTCGCGGCGCTGCATCTCGGTTTCAATATCTCGTATCGCTGTTTATTTTCTCCGGTAGTGCTACGGGGCCCTTGTGGAGCTTTCCAATACTTGCACGCACAGAGCAAAAAAATCACAGACACAACAAATTTCCATACTTAGCACAATGGCAAGTCGTTAAACTGTAACCCGGCCTGTGCGTCCGTTTGCCGTGGCCATGTACGCGCTGCGCCAAAACTAATTTGCTAGTTATCGATACTGCTTACCTCTTAGTAGCTTTTGTGCCAGCGGCCACATTCCGCCGTACTATGCACTTGCCACATAAATCGCCAAGCCTTTCGGCCTCAGGAATCGCGATCGTAGTCTAGAGTCTTCGCTTCTCTGCATATGCAGACGTACATGCTACACTCAATTTACCTCGACAGTAATCCGATGAAGCTAACGCCCAAGATGGAAAAAAAAGTCTCTTCATAGTTCTGGACCTCTGGCGGACATCTCCGCGGCCCGTACTAAGGCATCACCTTCCTTTTGTTCGGGAAGTCTGACGAAAGTCTCTAGACGTCGAGAATTGCGTCTTGAATGGGTTGAAATACGTCATTATCCACATGTGAGCACGCTAGAAGAGTTCTCTCTGCACCTAGTACACACCAAGACCAGACAACTACGTTTCAGTTGCAAACACGTCTAAAATCCCCACGGCAGATGCCACAGATCCAAAGAGTCCGTCTACACGCCATGTTCAGCTTTGTGTATAAAAGACACGTATTTGCTGTCATCATGCCCTGTAGCGTAAAGCTTAGACGCTCTCCATCTCCTATTAAGACCGAAACCTAGCCTTCCAGACTTTGTAAGGAATCTAGAACCACAACTACCATCATCATCACTGCGAGATTTCGTATGCTAAGCTTACAATACTGCTACTACTCCTACACCGCGAAGGATCTAACATGAGTTCACGCGTCGGCTGAAAGAAGTCTGGAAATTAGCAACGACTCACTCTCTCCCTCATCAAACTTTGTTTCTCCTCCCTAAGCGAAGTCCAGACTCTCTAGCCCTTTGCCAGATGTCGATACTACATGTTCAGCCCCTTGACCTTGTAAGGTGCATCCCTTTAATTTACGCAGCTAGAACGGTAATGTATATGGTACTATATGTCAGACTTGCTAGTACGTATGCAAGCTCCGGAGACACTAGCAATAGCGAGTCGTACAGCGGGGATCTGGAAATACCTGACTTGTGTTTTTATTCTTTAAATACATTTCTTCCTTTCCTTCCTTGTATCCCGCAGAACTCTTTCTTCGATGATTACCCTGTTCCGCAAGGCCGGGGACCAACAAGATGCGCTAGATGCGCTAGATGCAAAGAAGATGTACAATTAATTAAAGCAAATAACCAATGTATGGGTTTTTTTCTCTCTCTCTCTTCCCCCCACGGAAAATCGCAAATAAGCCCACGTTCCCATATCCACAACTTCCTACTCGCTAACTTACCTAATCAATCACCTTTCCTTCTTTCCCTTCCTCCACCCTCTGCCACCTTCTACCACCGTCTGACTCCCCATCCCGTACTCACATCTCTCCACCACCCGGCACATGTAAGCATCTACCACTTTTCTCCCCCTCCCCACCAAAACCCGTAAAAAGCAACACCTCCCCCTTCCAAACTCCCCTTATGCCCACCTTCCCTCTTCGAACCGATGAACCGACCTCTCCGCCCCCCTCAAAAGCAAACAAACCCGTAACAAAAAAAAAGTTGGAAAAAAAATTCCCTCTCCCCCCCCCCCACGGTAAAAACTATGGTCCCCCCCCTCACGGCCCGGTATCAAAACCCTGCATTATTCCTTTTCTTTGCTTTTTTTCCCGTCTCTCTCTCTCTCTCTATGGATCCATGGATTTATGAATCTATGGATCTACATACTCGCTGGCACATAAATTATGTGGGTAAATTGGAAAAGGCGAATGTGCATGTATGTGAAAGTACAGGTGGGTCCTGGTAAACTCCGGGTAGTGGTGGTGGTGGTGGTGGTGCCGAAGAAGGGTGGATGGATGGATGGATGGATAGAGGAGCCGGGAAGCCCGAACAGCAATCAATATATTATGCACATTGTTCGGTAAAGGGAGTAAAGTTGGGAAAGGGAGCGGGGGTAAGATAGCTGTTGGTTGAACAAGAGTTTACAGCGCATGCAACTCTGAAGATCCAATATAGAGAGAGAAAAAAGATCTTTTTTTTATTCATTTTTCTGAACTTGAGTGCGTTATTGTCTGATTTGAATTGGGATGTGCAACAGCTCCAAACAGTCTACAACGGAAAGTTTGAACCCCAAGACTTCAGTGTATGAAAAGACGTATTTTCTTTTTCCTTCCAAAAGAGGGAACCAATTATTTATCCTCACTCAATTGACCACACCAAAAAAACACCAAATCAATATCAATAATCCTCGTGTATTCATTTTACTCGCACTTGCGCAAACACTACCATAGACTCTTGACCAGGTAACAACGTTCAAAAAAAGAAATAACAGAAATAACCACTACGAAATTGCCCATCATCCACGGACAAGTTTCACACTCTCCATCAACATCCATGAATCGGACGTACACTCTCCTTTTTCTTCTCCGACAGTCGTCCACATTAGGCCGCGTCGCACCACACATCTCAGCTTCGCATACACGGGGATATCGCTAATGAACCAAATCTCCTGCGCAAACGCTTTTTCCTTTTTTTCGACTAACCTCGCTTCGTGCCAAACAAAAACATGTCTATTGCCATTCATGACTGCCGTACTTTCGTCAGGATTCATACCAAATGACACCTCCAACATGTGGTTTGTCGAACATGGTTGGAGTCAAGGCAAGTTGCGTGTATAATTTTATTTGAACACCTACTGCGCCTTCTTGGGAGCCGCACCGGGCTGACCTCCGACGTACTTGCGGATATCCGTAGCATCGGCAGCTTGACGAACGACAGTCTTGAAGGTAGCCCAGCCTTGCTTGGCAGCAGGAGGGGTGCTCTGGTTAGCAAGCTGAGCATCGATGCGAGCAGTGAGCTGGCTGATGGCCTCTTGGACAAAGCTGCTCTGCGCAACGCGGGCGCGGAAGAAGACAGTGTAGACAACGAGCAGGATCCAGGAGCCCCTCTGGAAGAGAAGCGCAGATCCAAAGACGCGGAACCACAGGAAAATCTCGAGGAGGGCAACAAGCGTCATGGAGCCATCATAGTATTCCTTGACAAACCTGCCGATAGCGTCCGAGGCGGCTGATGCCTGGGGCTTAGCGCCGGCCTGAGCAGCAGGTGGGGGCTGGATAGTGGGCAACAGGTTGGAGCGCACATAGGTAGCGACGTGGAAGATGGAGTAGACGGAGAAGGGAAGGATGGCAAGCGGGATCTGGCGAGAAAAGAGCCATGTGAGGGCCATGACTAGGTTTCAGTTAGCACGTGCTACTCATGGCAGGTGCTGTACTGCCCGGAACTTACTCAAGTATTGCACATTTTCGTCAGTAGCAAGAGCAACAACACCGCTCTGCTTTCCTGCCCTCATGCGGGCGCGGTATGCCTTGTAGACAACAATGCCGTACGTAACGCAGGCCGACAGGAAGGCGGTGCGGTAGGAAAATGACGCCCATCGCGAGGAAAAGTTGAAAGTGATGTAAGACAGGCCGTAACGCAGAGTAGAGAGCAGCAGCGTAACGTGCCCAGCAAACCAGGCGAACTGAAGAGTTTGCGCAAGGGCAGCAAGGCGCTGACCCAGAGGCATCGAGGCTGGCGGTGGGGGTGCCATTATTGCTATTTGGGCGGGTGTGGCAGCTGTCGTGTGGGCTACGTAATGGGGGGCTACCTTGGTACGTCAGCAGAGAGGAAGAAAGAAGTGTGCAGTGCCAGAAGATATTCGGAAAATATGCCAAATGGCTGACGAGATTCGGCGGTACAATAGTAGAGCGGAGGTGCAATGTGTCCGGAAGGGCGGCTGGGTGCTGCTAGAACAGCTGTTTGTGCCCGGCTCTCGGGACCCGCTCATGATACTCTTCGTGGCCGACTGGCGGGGTCGACTTACCGATATAGATAGTGAGTCCGACGGCTCAGCAAAAGTCGTGGGGTGATGTGTATTGCAAAAGCAGGATACAGCGGAGGATATGCAGTGTGAAGAAAAAAGGCAGAGGAACGGGGAAGGGTGTGTTCTTAGAAGGACATGGAAAGCGGGCAGTAACCCAGGCTTGGTCGGCGTTTGGGGGGGTGACGACATGGCTAGCAACAATTCTGGCTTGTGCAGGTGGGTGACGCACCTACCTCAATGCGCCCTGAGCACCAACCGCACCCTGACGATCTCCTCAGCCGCCAGCAACGCCTATCACGCCGGCATCATGGGTGCCATATCTAAGTACATACTTACTTATGGCATGTGAATGACATGTCTGGCGACCATCTGTCCTGTCCGCGTGTCCTCCTCCCCTTATCCTACTATCTCTGCACAGCATCACATCACACTCACTCACTCACGTACACATAAGCACGTCCTGCCTCAAGTCTTTTACCCACAAATGAAAATTGCCTAGTGTGATGGTCTGTAGAATACATGAAAAGAACATGTCCGACACTCCTCGCTCCGAACTACATCTGCCGAATACTAAAAAATAGGAAAATGCCAAGAAAAAGAAGCAAGGGAATCGGAAGGAGCGCAAAGACGTTGGTATCAATCAACAATCCGGACAACTGCACCAAGATGTGACACTGGCGTGCGCGGTGCCAAGTGTCGCACCGCTGTGCACTGTCCCTTTTACCGATAGCACCCAGTGGTATCGTCGGCCGCATTATATTAAACAAGGTCTGGTAACGTGGTGTAGAGAAGTGAGAAGGCCAGGGGCAAGGGCAAGGGTAAGGCCAAAGGCTGAGGCGTGATGCGTCCAGAGCGGAAGAGGCCCACCCATCCGCCCACCTGCGTCTCGGCGCTTAGCGGAGCGAGAAGCCCTTTCGCTTGCCCTTCTCTTCGATCGGCCGGCCGGACTCGATGCGCGCCTTCTTCTCTTCGAGTTCCTGTCGTTGTCGGTCCAGCTGGTCCTTCATCTCCTTGTGACGGGCGTACAGCTCTTCCTCGCTCTGGCGCAGCTTGCTTTCTTTTTCCTGCACCTTTTGCTGGAACACCATCTTCATCTCCATCTCCATCTTCTGGAGCTTGGCCTCGTGCAGCGAGCGCTCCTCCTCTTGCTTGACAGCAGGGTTGACCTCCTTGAACACGCTTGAGTCCTGTTGAATACCCATCTGTGCAAGCTTGTCCGAGCGGTAGTTCTCGTACAAGACGTTGTTGGTGTTCTCCTTGAGCTCCTCCATGTGGGTACGGATGAGCATCTGTCGGAGCTTGACAAAGTCGCAGTGCTCCTCGTTGTCAACCTCGACCACACCCCAGGGGAGCGCACGTCCGCGGACCTTGCGGCCATCAACCGTCGTCACCTCGGTGTTGGAGCCGACAACAGCAAAGGGAACCTTGGCCATGATCTCCTGGTTCTCGGCAATCGTCTCCTCGTCGTCAAGCTCATAGCGGGGTCCTTCAAAGATCTGGATCTTGTGGTACGCAATGTCGGCAAGAATCTGGACAAGTCAATATAGCCCCAACCACTCACAAAACAAGCGACTTACCCTCTTCTTGTAGTTGTCAATCTCATCGTCCGTAACGGTGTCGGCCTTGGCAATGACGGGAATCAGGTTGACCTTGGTGTGGAGCTTCTTCATGACCTCAATGTCAATAGGCTTCAGAGAGTGGCCAGTGGGCTGAATGAAGTAGACGACCGCGTGAATGCGGTTGTCAACAATGTTCATGCGGTTGACCTTGTTCTCGGCATCCAGGTATGCGTCGAATCGTTGCTCAATATTCTTGACAATGGGGTCCCAGGACTCATCGTTGTTGATGAAGTCGCCAAAGCCAGGTGTATCGACAACGGTTAACCTCAGACGAACGCCGTTCTCCTCAATGTCGGCGCTGATGGACTGGATGGACACAGTCTTGGAAATGTCCAGACTCGGGGGCTTGCGTTCCTTGGGCGGGTACAGCGACGTGTTGAACAGTGTGTTTACAAGGGTAGACTTTCCGAGTCCAGACTCGCCTGGGACGACACATTAGTTACACTCGATACCACACGCTGGCAGGTCACACATACCAACAACCATGACGTTGAAGTTGAATCCCTTGCGCACACTCTTGCGGTGCCACTGGTTGGGCAGGTTGGCGAAACCAACATAGCCGGTAAGCTTTCTGCGGACAATGTTCATGTCGTTGGCCATGGCCGCAGCGGCCTTGGGGTTCTTAGCCGTGATGGTGTGGACCGCAGGGTTGGACCCGTTGAATGTCTGGTCCATTGGGAAGCCGCTGGAAGAAGCCGGGGGCGATGGGGAGGCACGCGTGGGCGGCGCAGGAGAAGTAGGACCGGTGGATTCTGCACAAAGCGATTAGCCAGGGGCCCAGGGGAAACGGAAAAGCAACCTTGTCCAGCTCAGCGACATCAAACCGTAACAGAGAACTATCATGGCTTTTGCCAGGTGTCATATATAGTACTGTCATGGGTGTATATAAATCTATCTGCATATAGGAGCTGACGAGCTCCCAGCAGGAGACTGGCGGTGATGTCGCGGAGCCGGAGTGGTTCGACGGGGACAGTCACGTACCCATTGTGGAAATAAAGCAGGAGACGCAGGAAGAGTGTCGTCAAGTGAGGGAATCCTGTAGATGGGACGAGGTCAGCAGGCGGTTCTTAGTGCACGAGGGTTGTTGGCCATGCGTGTCGGTGCCAAACAAAAGTGACAACGCGGACCAGGCCGAATGTGGACAAATGAGCAGCAACGAGACAGGCAAGCAGGGACGACGTACCAGTTGGGGGGTAAGGGATGCTGTCGAGTGAGGGATGCACTCAAAGCAATGAATTGAAGAGTTGCCGGAGGCTGCGAAGAAAAATGGCGTGGTGTCCGGAGGCTGCGACGTTGGGAAGGGAAGTCGTGGTGCCGCCAGTCGCTGCGTGGGAGGAAAGGGGTCCGCACAGGGATGGGCGCGATTGGAGCAACGCCAAAGCAATGTGCACTAGACCAAAAATCCCCGCGTCACCATTCGCAGACAGTGCCGGCGTCGAGTGTCGCTGGAAATAGAAGAAAAAGCAGAGATTGTGGAAGAGAAAGAAGAAGCAGAACAAGCCGGTTGCCAGGGCGAGAGAAGGAGAGCCAGAGAGCCAGCGTGCAGCAGGACAACAGACGGCCTCTTGTTGCAGGCGATCTTTTTGTGCTCCTGTCGTCGGGCTGGAAATGGTAGTCGCAAAGGGCCATGTCTCCACAAGGCAGGAGTCACGTGCGCTTAAATGAGGAGGCACGAGCATCGGCTCTTGGACATGATTACATGCCCGCTGGCCTCACGGGCATTTTCTACCGCCGTCGTACACATGGCGTGGCCTGACCATGTCAGATTATAACGCGTCCATCCCCCTCCCCCCCCCAAAAACGTCTTCTACCACTGCCTATATACAAATCAAAGGGTATTTTACGCGTCGCCAAAGCAAACAGAATCCCGTCCAACGCCACAGTCCCTGCGCTATGCAAAGCTCGCCAGAGCCTTGTTCAACTCGCTCTTGTCGTACTTGACATACTTGCCCTTGCCCTTGTCAATCTCCCGATACCGGTCGTAGAACCGGTTGTACAGGGGCTCAATGATGTTCTGTACCTCCTTGGAGAGCTGGTTGCGCACCTCTGGCTCCATTGCGTACGACTTGTGCCGTGTAACAAGATCCTCGAAGCTTGTGTTGAAGTTCTTGAACTTCTCCTTGATTGCATCCTTGTCCTTGGAGCTCAGGGATTTGACAATCGTCGCCGAGTCAGCTCCACTCGAAGTAGGCCGCTCCTTGGTACGATTCGTGTACTGCACATCAAGCAGGTAGCCAGACGGCTCTCGCCATGCCTCCAAGTACATGGCCGTGCCCTGCTTCCGCCAATCGGCCAACTTCTTGGAGTAGTTCTCCATTAGGGGCGCTAGTTCCGAAGAACGAATAATTCGCATAATAATTGCAATGTTGTTCGCCATGAAGACGCCTTGCAGATTCTTGCCCTTGAGCAGCATCTTTGCCTTGCCACTCAAGTTTTGCAGCAGCGTGTCCACTGTGTCGCCAGCATAAGAGCCAAACAGCTTGATCCCATCAGGCCCCACATCCAATGTTGTCGATGAGTTGTTGGCCGAAGCAGCGTTCCACCCGCCCTCGCCTAACGATGCCAAGATGGATGAAAGAGGCTCTAGATAATTGGTCATTTCCTGCAACCGTCGCATCGTCTGCGTGGTAATCTCTACTGGGCCACCATCAATCGGCAGTGCAATAAGACCCTGTGTGTTGGACCTCGTGTCCTCGAGCATCTTGCTCAACGACGTTTTCGATGTCTCGCGGATTGGCTTGACGCTGTCGTAGATTTGATCCTTGAGAGCACCAGTTTGCTTCTGGAGCCTCATGGAAAGTGTTCGGACCAGCCCGCAAATCTCAAATCCTAGGAAGCAGTCGGTCAAGATGTTCTTCTGAATATGCCCGTTGAGCTCGCGCAGCGTTTTACTAAAGTCTTGCAGGGAGACCTGGCACGTCGACACGTAGACGTCGCTCCATTCCTCCCTGTCGAATATGTAGTTGAGGTTGTCAAACTCGGCCACAAACAGCCCTTCTATCGCCTGTACGTAGGTTCCAATGCCGTTTGTGCCCTTCTTGTAGAGAGCGTCAGCCTGCACTTTCCGAGCCGTGCTTATTGATGCTTGCATCAAACTTCTCAGTGTACTCTCGAGATATTCGCCCCGAACGTCGGCGTATATTCTTCGTGTGGGTGTCTGGGATAGGTCTACTTGTGACGTCTGCGCAAAGGTCTTCGAAATGTGATTGTGGATGCTACGCAGGCTCTGTAGCTTATCTTGCGCCATGCGCGGAAATGGATTCTCTGTATACGGTCAGAGTCTCTCCATCAACAACATATAATCGACTTACGCTTAGCGACATATTCCAATGCCTGAAACTTTTCTCTACAGCTATCTTGTAGTATGCCCCGGAATACTTCCTCTAATTGCTTGTTGCCTAGTTTCAGCAGACCGCTGAGTTCTGTAATGGCTTGCTCGTTCGAACGTAGATTGGTGCGCTTGAGATCCAGCAGGTTGAGGTTAGTGCGGTCCAGGGAAGCGATGTAGCCGTCAAGGTCTCCTCTCCCGGGACCGGCGCGAATGATCCTCTCCTCCTTGGCGCTTTCTTCCCTCGGCGCGCGGAGCCGCTCTATCGCATCGATGATGCGATCGACATTTGTGTTTGCAATCTGCAGCTTTTGGGTGTTGCCGTAGATTGGCCCAATGGCTTCCTGGACTGCCTTTCCGCTTGCATCCAGTCGGTTGACGGACCCTTGGATCTTCTTGGTGATTGCCTTCATCTTCTCCATATTGGCGAAGAGCACTTCGACTTCGGCGCTCTCTTCAAGGAGCGCGGTTCTGCGTGGGGCGACCATGGCGACTGCTGGGAAGATTCGCGACTGCCTCGGGGGCTATGTGGACGCGTGGGCGGCGGTGAGGATGACCCCTATTATAAGAGAATGGTGGGCAAGAATGAAGCGAACATGGATTAGTACATTAAAAGGTGATAAATGACAGGACGATAAATAGCTCGAGTGTATAAGGGTGGCGTATGATGATGTGTGAGGGGGTCCTTGTGGAGAGCTGTCGTGGAGACGTTGCTATCCCGAACCAGGGTCCGGCCTCGGTGATCCGCCCCCAGACTGAACAAGCATGCCGCGCCATGTCGGGAAGATCATGCAGCTCTGTGAAACACCCATATGCCCATTCGTCTCGGTACATTGCGGCAAAAACTATGTACGCAATGAAAAAGACGCATTGCGTGTGCAAAGGGCCCAAGCAGCTGCGGGAATGCGGGTCACCGTTTCCTGACACCGCCAAAGCCGCTGTCTACGTCTCATACCTGTCTCGGCAACACGTAGCTGCTTTGGTATTAGGCACGCAATGCCTGGTTTCAGAAGAGCTACACACTCAAGCGGTTGGACGTACACTCTTATGCGTTCACAGGGCCAGATACGAGTAACACTACAGGAGCGTTTTGAATGCTTTGCAAATAGTAAGTGGGTGGTCCTGCTTAAATAGACAATGCAAAATCGTGCCAAAGTACCCCTAGGGTCAGAGGAACAACACTCAACTGCATAGAGTATACATTCCTATCTGAACCCTGTGTGCCTCCTAAGGATTTGAGTTGATTCACTCTAGCTAATATATTTTGTACCCTTTGGACCAGATCGGCTTAGTTCAGTCTAGGAGTACATGTATACCGCTTTAAAATCTTCGGTCTTTCCGGGAGAAAGGGTAGTAGATCGTAATTCGAGTGATACATGTACTATTTTTCACACAAATCAATTGTTGTTGGTCACTCATTCCTTTTTGTGGGTTGCAGTGGCCTAGCAGTGCAGAGCTCACGCTTCCTAACAACAGTTGGAATATATGTAATATGTTTGTGGAAACTGTATGCTTTATCAAGAATACCCTAGCTAGTCAATCCAGAGTTTGTAGTGCCGACCCTTCTTTTCCATCTTCGTCTATTTTCCCGTCATGTCTTAGGTATCCTACAATCCGGTCTACTTCTCTCATTGTTAATGATGGCCACCTCGTTAGCAATCGCTCAACATGCTCTCCAAAAGACCTATTAAACGTTAATGTATTGCACTATTCTTGGAGTAAGAAAACTCACTATCTTTGGGATGTTTACGACTCATACTTGTTATGCAGATACGTTGTCCGTTGATGTTGACATACCGGCAAGACCACTTCGACGCATCTCGCTGTGCTTCAATCTCGCAGACTAATTCGGGGCAAGGCTCCATGTCCTTAGGTACACAGCCAGGCTTCAGTACCCTTGCTTGGGCATCGATGGCTTTATTGCAAGGTTTGGCACCTCTGCCGAGTTCGTATCGCCCAGAGCTACTGTAGTAACGGACTTGCTTCGTTTCGCACATTTTTCAATGAATATTTTGAGCCCGAATTTTGTTGGATAAATCGGCTCAGGTCGGTTTTGATAAGTAAATGTCTATTTCGAGATGATAGGTGTAATTTGAAGAAAGATAGGTAAAAGATTAAGATGACTTGGTCACTGGGCGAACAGTTTGTCCTCTATTCTTCAAAAGAGAACGAAGCTGAGGAGGGGAAATATACTTATTTGTGCAGTGTATTCTACCAACTGGCGTTTCTCTATGCAAGTAAAGTGAACAATCTGGCTCAGCTGAATGGGGCAGTGCTTGAGTGCATTTGGCAGCCCAGCGCATCGTCAAAGTGGCATGCAGGCTGAGCTTGAAGGGCGCAGGCTGAGCCGAAAGGGCGCAGTATGCATACTTATTTGTTTTTTTCTCGCTAGCTTTCATTGTACTGTCAGGCGAAATTTGGCTTCGAGAATGTCTATCTCAGAGATCATTCATTCAACCTTTCCTATTTCTTTCCTAACATTCTGAAATTGCTCAAAATTTCACAGCCAAATGGAGAGTGGCGACCCAGATACTTCCACCACAATGGTCGACGTGGTTCCCACAGCTAGCAGCAAAAATACTTCGAATGAAATACAAAGTTCTCGAGGGCCAGCTATAGTGTTGCGCACCGAGACGTTCGACTTAGACAGTCTTGTGGCTTGTCTTCAAGATATTCTGAGTGGGAAAAGATTCCAGCACCGAGCAGTTAAACAACTTCTCTCCTCATTGCTTGAAACAAACCTGGGACGAGTTGCCGCCACAATTGAACAAAAGCTAAAGGAGGAAACGACAGGCTATTACATTGTAGCAGACATAGATACTTTAGGCAACACCTTTTTTCAGCCTCCCACTACAGCTGCAGAAGGATTGTGGACACTACTGAAGGTACAAAACTCTAGTGCCGATGACAGCCATCGCAACCTCCCGTTTTCAAGATAACTAATGAAATCTAATTGCACAGAATACCGATAGATTCACAAAAACACATCGGAAAGAAATCAAATCCTTTGGACGGGTCATGCAAATACGATCACTTCCACCAATTATCACACTTCAACTACTGTTATGCATGACTTCCCACTTTGATCTAGAACGACTATTCTCGAATTTTATCAATCGAGGGGGATCTTCTGGCTATCGCCCTGACCCATGTTGGAAAGGATCGCGAAATATCTGGTTCTTCTCCCTCAAGTACTACTATATTTCATTCCAAGACCAGGACGTTTATCCGGGTCAGAAGTCAGGTCCCTTCCACAAGAATCTGCCGCACCTCCGAATCTGCCACGGAAGCTCATCCGTGGCATGGAGCTTTTCTGATACAGAGGGAGCAAATACATCTGTTGCATTACCATGGAGACTCCTAATCCTCTCTTGCAATCGGGAATGTGTGTCAGATAGAAAAATGCAGAACGGGGTGGAAGCATTTTGCTGGGGTATTAATAGTGAATTGACGAACGTGAGGAGGCGTCTCAGAGAAGTTGCAGATCAGATATTCTCGGTTGCTGTACCCTCGGTAAGTGTTTGCCCTCAAGCAGATACCCCCAAATTCCCAACATTCAAATCTGACCGTATCCGGCAGGACGACTTTCTCTTCGATAGCGAGGTGCGAGAATCTCTTTTGTTCGAAAACAAGGATTTCTCAAACTCACAAACTTACTTCTGGGCTCTTCATTCCTTACGTCTCGTCAGTGAGTGCATTGCTTCGATTATTAGAAGTTGGGACTTGTACAACAAAGAATCTTTTCTAAATCTTCTAAATACGGGCGACGATGGAATAAGCCATACGTCTCCAAGTTCAGATGGCGAAGCGGCTGCCACTGGAGCTGCGTCGGTGCCTTGCCTCGATGAAATCCAAAAACAAATGACTCAGCTCGCCGGCATGATAAAAGACAACAACGCCCAGCAGGAAGACATACGGGCTTTGCGCGACGGTGTAAGTGCTTCCCTAGAGCCCTCAATCATTGGTGAATCAAATCGCTAATGTCATGTTACAGCTTTTCAGTGCCTCTTCAGTCCTCGAAACGCGCACCACTGTCGCACAAGGAAAGAATATCCATCTACTGACACTTATATCCATGGTGTTCTTGCCTGCTAGTTTTGCAACGTCCATCTTTGGTATGCAGTCTATTCTACCAACATCGACAAGCCTCACGACATTTGCAATTGTCATGATATTTATTTGCGGGCCGGCATATCTGGTTATCTTAGTATTGAGTGGAGGACTAAAAGAGGCCGGTGAAATTTGGAAGAAGACAGCGAAGTTTTGGGATGGATGTGGCAAAGTTAATGGAAAGAAATGGCTCGACAGGGCGAACACGATGATGAGGAAGAAGAGAAACAAATCGAAGGATGTCGAGAAGGGTACATGATGCTGATGTCGATGCTAGATATATCCTGGCAAGCAGGTCGATTCAACGTTTATGAATTACCACACCGCAACCAGAATTGTATTTTGCCCTTCTAATAAGCGCGCAACAGACCCCAATATCCCTACAAGACGCTAACACAGGAAAACAAACCCTGCTTAGACGTCTATGCTGTAAGGAAAAATCAAAGTGGAAACTGGAACACGATTACGGGCAGCATGTACCAATCTCGGCTGTAAAGTGAATACATGTAAAAGGATATCAGTGAAACGCGCAAAAGCCTGTGAGTAACATGTCATAGGTTTGATCAAGATGACATTGCACAGAATCCAGCTTCAGTTGAGATGGTTCCCATTGGCAACAAGAAAACCGGAGTTGATGCCGTGTCCGTAACACCTGCCGCTTACTGGTAGCGGTTCCCACGGGGCCTCTTTGCAAATGCAGACTAGTGTATGAGTGGTCACTTCCACATCGCGTGCGTCAACTGTTGATGTTGCTGACTATACTACTTTGTTGTTCGCCGTCCAAACGAGCCCGTTGTCCACGATTACATGATCGGTCATTTCAAAAATACAGGGTTGTGTCTCGGAGCAACAGCTCATGGGACTGCAACAACAAACTTGCAAATAATCTGGTACTAGTATCACGTGCAATTGGCAAAGACAAGTGGGGTGTTCTGGCCAGATGGTGCATGTTCCTGCAGGGCTTGGCATACGACATGCGGGTCGTGGTTCGATCGGCGGGATCCACAACCAGTTTGGGTGGTGGGATTCTGGCATGTCATGTTGAGGCCTTTCCCATCACCCCAGCCGTGGGCGGTTCCCATACACCCATTGCCCATGCTTCTTACAAGCCTTCACACCACACGCCCTCTTGCCATCATCTTCGCGCATGGCCGGCTATAGGAACACGCGCAATTTGGGCCAACTTTGGCTGTGTGGGACGCGTCGTGGGTGCGTCCACCTGGAAATCCATCCCCCCACCATCGCATGCTAATTATCCAGCCTGCACACAAAACACCATCCCCTGTCTCCCAGGCCCAGGGCAGCCACCCTCGGTCTTCGCTATGGCCCTCCTTGCCTGCTTGCCACCGCTGCCACCGGCTACTTGATATCTCCGTACTCTCCATACCCGCTGTTACGTCCCATTCAACTCGATGCGCCGTCTCTCAAGCGATACATATTTGGTGGTGGTGGTGATGCCAAGACTGAGACGACGTCCGCCGGGGATGCCGAAAGGCAGATTAACAAAGAAGGTGAAGGCAAGTCAGGAGAGCAGGACGCACCACCCCAGACTCGCGTTGTGAGGGGCTACGGTAGCGAGGATGAGGGCGACAATCGAACCGGAGAGAGCCAGTCCGCCTGGCAGACCATCACGGACAAATTCCCAAAGTCGCCCTCTCCCTCCAAGATTGGCGATACCATCATTGACTACATTGTGCCCAATTGGGTCAAGGTCATGCCTGGCTTCATCCGTAAGCTGCAGAATGAACTCTCAATGGCCCCAGGCTCCTTGGCCGAAGAGATATGGCGCGAGGCCAATGATCCCGAGATCAACCCAGAGATTGTCTGGGATGCTTCTGTCAGGGTTTCCAACGAGCTGTGCCAGGAAGAAAAGTCTTTCTTGGAGAAGCGTGCACACTTCACCAAGGCTGCACTTGCCCGCTACCTTGATATCCCGGAAGCCACAATCCACCCCGACGACGTTCCCGTCATTGCAATGTGCGGCTCTGGAGGAGGACTACGCGCTCTTGTTGCCGGCACATCTTCATACTTATCCACCAAGGAAGCAGGCCTCTTCGATTGTGTCACTTATACGGCAGGAGTCAGTGGCAGCTGCTGGCTGCAGACACTCTACTACTCAGAGCTCAGTCAACGTAGCCATGCTCGTATGATTCGTCATCTCAAGAATAGGCTTGGCGTACACATTGCTTTTCCTCCTGATGCGCTTGAACTGCTCGTCAGTGCCCCAACGAGCAAGTATCTACTAAGCGGCCTCGTAGAAAAGGCAAAGGGTATCCCAGACGCCGACTTTGGTCTTGTAGACATCTATGGCGCTCTGCTTGCTGCACGCTTGCTCGTTCCCAAAGGCGAGCTGTCTGTTAGCGAGTACGACTTCAAGATATCAAATCAGCGACGATTCACCGACAATGGCTCACAACCACTCCCAATCTACACTGCCGTACGACACGAGATTCCTCTCGCCGAACAGTCAGACGACAAGAATGCTATCGAGGCAGAAGCGCAGGCGAGAAAGGAGGCCTGGTTTCAGTGGTTTGAGTTTACCCCATATGAGATGTGGTGCGAGGAGCTATCGGCCGGTATACCAACATGGGCCATGGGTCGCCGTTTCCAGAATGGCCGAACTGTCTGGCGAGACAACGGCCTAGCATTGCCCGAAGTGCGCGTCCCACTGCTTATGGGTATTTGGGGATCCGCTTTCTGCGCAACACTATCACATTATTACCGTGAAATTCGTCCTCTTATGCGCAGCTTGACAGGTCTGGGCAGTAGCATAGATGCCATGATTGCGGAGCGGGATGATGACCTTGTTAAAGTACATCCCATCGATCCTGCTGCAATGCCTAATTATGCTCTCGGTATGCGCGAGTTTCTTCCTCCGACCTGTCCCGAAAGCATCTTTCAACAAAAGAATTTCCAATTCATGGATGCTGGCATGTCTAATAACCTGCCTATCTATCCCCTGCTCCGACCAGGACGCAACGTGGATATACTTGTTGCCTTTGACGCTTCTGCCGATGTGAGAACCGACAACTGGCTCAAAGTTGCCGATGGATATGCTCGGCAGCGCGGGATCAAGGGATGGCCAGTTGGTGCAGGCTGGCCGCCCGCTGACGAATCCATGGAAGAAATTCAACAAGACCTCGATCGTGCCGAAGCCAAAAGTGAACAAGAAGCCCAAGAAAAACTCAATCAGGCCCAAGAAAAGGACGGTCCCACCAAGAAGAAGATTGAGGACTTGGGCTACTGCAACATCTGGGTCGGAACCACTGAAGAGCGTACTTCTGACTCTGCATCGCCAGAAAGCAAGCAGGTCGAAGAAGACTGGGAGCTCATGCACCCAAATTCTGGAATCACCGTCATCTACTTTCCCTTCCTCGCCAACCCGAAAGCGCCTGGTGCAGATCCCAAGGTCAGCGACTTTATGTCAACATGGAACTTTGTGTACACCCCTGAGCAAATCGACAGCGTTGTTGATCTTGCGCGGGCAAACTACAACGAGGGTGCTGAGCGCACCAAGCGCACTGTAAGGGCTGTGTACGAGCGCAAGAAGAGACAGAGGGAAGAGCGGGAAAAGGAAGAGAGGGAGAGGCGGTGGCGGTGGAAGTTGAGTCAGGGCAGGATTGCGGGGAGAAGGATTGGCGGTGATAGTGAACATGGGGATCAGTTTAGCTGAGAGAAAAGAAAAAATCACGATGGAATTTGGTGGGTAATGAGTGGGATGGATGAGGATGAAAGTTTTATACCCTGGGTACTTTTAGATCGAGAATGAATACATATGTGTATACTTATGTTACACATGTTTCGATTGGCAAGTGAGGATTTTATTGATTGAAAATGCTTTGTCGGTATTACATTACGACCAATCAGCATAATTCAGCTTGAAGTGCGATGCATATACTAACACAATCAAAACCTAACAGCATTTCCACGCACTATCACAAGCACCCTCACATTATCTCCCCATCCAACTACACAACCTCACACCCCAGATCCTCCCCCCCTTCCATCTTCCCACCCCTCCTTCAACTCCCCCCCACCCCTCTCCCAACAACAACAACCTGCACATTCGGCCACAACACCTCCCTCTCCTCCCCTTCTTCCTCTCTCTCGCTCTCCCTCTCCTCTTCAACATACCTCCTCAACCCCTCACTATACAACCGCACAAAATGCGTCCTGCCACTAAAATCCACAAATCGTGCTAATCCTGACTTGCGTTGCAGCGCGTGGTGCAGTTCAAAGTAATTTACAGACCAGATGGGGAGGTTGCGGTTGCTTTTTTGGAGGGCGGTGGTGTAGGCGGCTTGGGTTTGGGGGTGGCGGTGGCGGTGGTATAGGGTTCTTTGTTGTTGTTGGGGGCGTGGATGATGATATATGTTTTGTTGGACTTGTTGATTTTGATGTTGATTTTGGTCCTGACTTTGTTGGAGGAGGGGGTTTTTTTGCTCATCTTTTTGGTGTACAGCGGCGAGTTCGGTGGTGAATTCAGCGCGGAGACGCGCGAGTTCGGTTGACATGGTTTGGGCGTCTGTGGTGCGGGTGGGACACTAAGGGCAGAGAGTGAGTTCGGGGGCGTTGGTTTCTTAGACCGCGTTTGTTTTAGAGATTTAGGTGAGCGGGATGGGGGGGAGGCGATATGAAGGATAGGGAGTAATATACCTTGAATGAGCCGTCTTCGGCCGTATCCTTTGCTGTATGACCTTTCTGGCCGCATAAGTGACAGTCTCGCTGGTTTTGGCGAAGAGTAGCCTTCCTTTTGCGTGGGCGTTTGGATTCAGCGTCCCTCACGCTTTCTACTAGCTGTAATGCTTGGTCGAGGGAGAGGATGTTGGGGGGATCATGTGGATACCTAGGGGGGATAGGATTCAGCCAGTTCATGACTGCCCTGTGCTTAGAGGCTTCTTCTCTATCCATGTTGGAGCTCTGTTGTGGATGCATGAGATGACCGTGTGGGTAAGGTGCTAGTGTCTATGATAGTGGTGAGAGCTGGGACTGATGGATATGATGAGGAGGTACGTCAGTACAAGAAGTATGATATGCTGACCATGGACGAAAAGGTGACTATTTATCAGAGTAATAAGGTGGTATCGAGTCGATGGAGTTCCTGATGAGAGGTATCGGATATGGCTGGGTGACTTATGGTCTGCAGACCTTGGGTCCGGTGGGACGTCGACCTCACCGTCACCGTTGTGCCTATCATGTCTCAGGAATTCAATTCACTCTCCCATCCTCAACGATGAGGTTATTAATAGTAGCCTCAACAACTAAAATATAATCAGTGGCTGTCAACATTTTCCGAGATGCGGCAAATATGTAAGCTTGGGCAGAAAGAGACTGCTTTGCAGTGTCTCCACAAGAGACTCCATGGTACCACTACGCACTCAGCCTACAGTTAATAGTTTAGAGAAGCCGTTTTGACATATAATTCGGCGACTGCTAGCTTCCAGAGTGCGGTGCGTCAAGAAGTCCATGAGCGGGAGGTGTAGTGCAGGTGAAAATACCATGGTGGCCAGCGCGTATTTTCGTCCGCTTCCCTACTCAGATGTAGTTTTTGTACAAGAAGGTACCTCCCTCAAGAGGATAGATATTGGATAATACGGTGAACCTGGTGGCTTCAATAGCTGCTGCTACGAAGAATAAATGTATAGATAGTAGCTCTAGATATATGTAGAGCATATCACTGATAGGACTTGGATGTACAAGTAATATAGTACAAGACGCAACAGACGCATCCTTTCCCTTGCTTGTGACGCCTTTGCGATAGATACCAGATCGTCAATTGCTAGGTGCACATGATTAGGATGCTAGAAGTGAGCAAGCCAGAAAAGAAGATTACAATCACCGATTTAGAGGAGAATTTTAGAAAATAAGAATTTGAAAAAAATCATGTTTGAACATTTTCATAAAGTAAAAGTGATAACCAATGCCTACTCTGGAGTACTCCACATGCGATCCTTAAGACAGGAATCTATCACATGCCTGCTCATGTGAGATGCGCTGTTTGATTCTCATAAACCGTGACAAAGCTTGTCAAGTTCCAACACCGCCGCCAAACGCCCTGTATCATGCTGGGTATAATGCTTAAAAAAACGACACCTAAATAAAGAGAGACCTCTAAATCCACCAGACGCCTGGGACATGATACTAGCGGTCCTGGAAAGGAGTCACGTCGCGATCGGCAAAGCGAAGTGCGTCTGATGCTTCTACATCACTCTCCATGTCAGCATCTTCGTCTCGCATTTCCTCAAGGGATCGCTTGGGCTTCGACAATGACGGTGTTGGTGATAGCGAGTCGACATGTGGATGGCCGTTGCTCTGGACACTTCGATGTGGTGTTTGGCATTGCGAGGCGGCGATGGCACGTCGTGCTCCAACAATATCCCAATACGACCGTAGTATGTTCTTAAGCGTATCGTCAAAGTTGGAGCAGAAGCGTTGTGCTTGACAGATCTGCATGGCTCTGATGTGGTTGAAGTCGTTTAGTGTCTCCATTAGGTAAGCGGCCACTACTGCTGCTGACTTCTCGTTGCCCGACTCGCAGAAGACTAGGACTTTGCCGAGCGTGGCTTCGCCCTTGGTTTGTAACGTGTGCTGTCGAACTTTTGTCACGTGTGTGTTGATCATCCTAGTCGCCTCAGGGAATCTGGGGGTGAGAGCGTAAAAGGTAGGGGCCTCAATACTGCCCACTTCAAGGCAGACTTCGCTAGCCGCTTGCATTGCGCCCACCAGACTGTTGGGCTGCGCACGAACGGCCAGGGCCATGGTGATGCCTTCGCGCTCGAGGAAAGCCTTGTCCTTGGCGGTCATCATGGGTCCAAGATACAGCCAAGGTAAGATCATCTGAGCCTGTCTCCGCCGTTCATATGCCCACTCGAGCAGCGAATTCTTATGCACTATATGCTCAAGGTCCAGCTCCTTCAGAAAGGTCATGTCCAACTCCTCACCGGTGTTGTCGCTCAGTGCCAGGCCCGGCATATCGGAGACAAGCGTGGGCGGGGGTACAGCGATCCGAGGCGGTGCGGGTAAACGATAGGTATACTCGTGCTGGTTGCGCATATGGACATTCGGGTGGTCCGACATGGCGGCTTCTTCGCGAAAGGTTGCCATGATCATATGGATCGTTGTGGTTGAAAGCGGTTACGGCAAGGCTTGTCGAAGAGAGAGAAAAGACGGTGAGGTTTATGTAGACAAGTGGGTCACAGACGCACTTTGTTGTCACAGCCCTGGGCACGCTGCAGTGTGGATGTGTGTGTATGGGCTGAGGTGGGCGCAGGCAGCAGAGGGGCGAAGGGGAGTGTCAGGGGAGTGTCGGGGGAATGAGTGGGCGCGACAAGGTGGGGTGTGGGTGTGGGTGTCGCGATGCCCACGACAAATAAGTAGAGCAGGTTGCAGGGCAAGAAGTTACGGTTCATCAAAGAGGTGGGAGACGCCCCATGGCGAACCGAGGCCGAGGTGAACTACGGTACAGTCCATCGACGGCGCGCGCGTTCACGTTCTGGAATTGCGGGAGGGCTAGCCACAAGAGGCACGCGTGGCATCGCTGACGTAACAGGGCATCCAACCGAGCTGTCTGTTACGAGGCCCGCCAATCGTCGCATTGCCTTCGCCAAACCCGTCCTACTTGGCCGTCTTACAATAGCTTGCTAACAGTACCTTGGAACTGCTTTGGGCCAATCCAGTACCCTATTGGGAATTTGTCAAATCCTTTTCGGATGCAAACCAGGCCGATGGTGCCTCTGCACATGATCCGACTCTATTTTTGTACCGCCTAGGGGTCTCACCCTCTTGCAGTGTATCACCTTTTGTCACTCACATCCGATATCTGGTGAGCTGCTGCTGATACGGGTTCTATATGACCTGCTACACTTTTCACAAACTGCTTGATAGTAGCTCTCTGGAGTACTAAGACAAAGATCCATTTATGACTAGGTTGAGTGATACAGGTAAGTAATCCCCATCTCTTTATTTTAAGTATTATGCTTAATAGATGAATAGCTTGGTAGTACATGTACATGTGTCCGCTCTTGCTCACGACTTACTAGACAATGGTGCATTCCATCCTCCTCCAGGTACCCTGAATCAGGCCATAGACCCCACTGAACCCACCGCCAGCAAACTCTGTCGACCATTTGTCACATTTCTGGAGCAGAATCCGAAAATAGAGCCAATCCCTCTCATTATGTGTATCTGCCCTGCCTATACTGACCACTGATTTGCAAAAAGGAATATTTTCTCTGAAATTGAGTTGCACAAGAGAAGTAGCTTGCATCCCATTGTCCTTGAGCGCCAAGGAAAACAGCATCGTACACCGTATTGTCACGACAAAGATATAAAGTAGAGAATCCGGTGAACTGATTCGTTGGCAACACTATCATATCCATGTACCCCAAATTGCCAAGCAAAACTGTCTCTACTGACACCGTCCGCTCCACCCGGATGATAACTCAACGAGCAACGCGCCCGCAAACCAACCAAACCAACCTCTCGGTCCGACACACGCCTGGACGTTACTCGTTTTGGTGGGTCGGCCAACAAAACTACGTAACCGATAAAACCAATAGCCTACCGATCGCAACGCCTCCGATCTTCCGGACCTATTGTGGGGTAAAAAATCCTCCGCAAAAACATTCCGCAACGGTCGTCCTAGTAAATCGCGACTGTCGTCATAAAGCCAAGGCTGCCCATTGCGATTCGGGTTAAGCAAGCTTGTTTCCCCCCCTCTTCTTGAATGGCAGATAAAAAGATGGCAGGGGCGCGCATTCGCCGTTGGGCTTGTTGGAGGAGCAATTCGCTTTCGCTACGTGAAGGCGTAGTACTACTATTTCAATCATGAAGTTCTCGTCATCACGCGATTTGGTGGTGGTGTTATCGTTTGCAACGGAAGCAACAAGTCGAATTCTGGTCCGTCAACCTACGGCTATCGACTACAATGCCGCTCCACCGAATCTCTCTACGCTAGCGAATAACTCGCTCTTCGAAACTTGGAGGCCCAGGGCACATGTTCTACCGGCGTTTGGCCAAATTGGAGATCCGTGTATGCATTATACAGATCCTGTGACTGGGCTTTTCCATGTCGGATATCTGCATCTAGGGGCATCAGGTGCGACGACGAGCGATCTGGTTACGTACAAGGACTTGAATCCCAATTCCGCGCCGTTCATCCGTGCAGGTGGGATAAACGATCCCGTTGCAGTCTTCGATGGCAGTGTGATTGAAAAAGGTGTAAACGGCACACCTACGCTCCTCTACACAAGCGTCCGCTACCTCCCCATCCAATGGACAATCCGATACACAAAGGGCAGCGAAACACAATCACTCGCCTACGCCACGGACGGCGGCAAGAACTTTACAAAAGCCAAGTTTGGCCCCGTTATCCCCAGTCCTCCCTTCGCCGTCAACGTAACGGGATTCAGAGACCCATTCGTCTTCCAAAGCCCACAATTCGATTCTCTCCTCAGCAAGAAAAAAGACACATGGTACACCCTCATCTCCGGCGGTGTCCACGGTGTAGGCCCCAGCCTCTTCCTCTACGCCCAATACGACGACTCAGACGCCGCCTCATTCCAAACCTGGGAGTACCTAGGCGAATACTGGCACGAAGCCGCAAACACCACCTGGACCGAATCCAACTGGGCTGGCCGCTGGGGCTTCAACTTCGAAGTCGCAAACATCTTCTCCCTCGATGAGCACGGCGCGAACCATTCCACCGGCGAAACCTTCTTAACCGTAGGCGCAGAATGGAGCTACGCACCCATCGTACCTCAAGTCTCTGACGAAAGAGATATGCTCTGGATCGCTGGCACCCAGTCCCTCGTCGACGGCAAACTAACTTTTGAACCGACAATGGCAGGCAGATTAGATGCAGGCCGCTCCGCCTACGCAGCAGCCGGCAAGCTTCTTTCCGCAGACTCGCAGCCCAGCTGGGCGAGCGGCGCCCCCGATCGCGCAATCACGTATCTCTGGCTCACGGGCGATCTCTACGGCACATCTGCCTTCCCTACCGCCCAGCAAAACTGGACAGGTTCCTTACTTCTCCCGCGCGAGCTATCGCGCTGCTACATCGATGTGCTCGATACGCCGCTGGCCCGCGAAACCGGGGCGTGGAGGGTCGAGCGGGAGAACGGAGACGGTACGCTGCGACTTGCAACGTTGTGCCAGAAAATCGCACGAGAAGTTAAGACTGCGTTCAAGGCGAATGCAACAAACGTCATAACCTTGCCTGCTGACGAGCTTTCACCCGGCGAGCAGTACAAATTACCACAGTCCCCCAAGGAGAATCACTACATGCTTACTGCCTCTCTGACTTTCTCCTCTCGCACACCAGGCCTCAAGGCAGGCTTTACTATCCTCGAGGGCACGCATGAGACGACGCGTGTGGTGTACGATATCGGCGCCGAGCAGCTGAGTGTGGAGCGTGGGAGGTCGTCAGCGGCGGCGAATACGACGCAGGGCATCCCGACGTACGACGAGGAGGGTTTGTTCCGACTGTTTGATTTACCAACTCACGCCAATGCTTCGCGGATTGAGACGCTGAATCTGACTATTGTAGTAGATGGTGGGGTAGTCGAGGTGCATGCGAATGATCGGTTTGCGCTGAGTACGTGGGCGAGGCCGTGGTATGCGGATAGTAAGGGTGTTGGCGTTTTCGTCGAGGGCGAAGGAGAGGAGGCAGTAAGCGTGAGCGAGGTGAAGGTTTATGAGGGTTTGGTGGATGCGTGGCCGAAGAGAAGCAAGACGATTTAGGGAGAGGGTTGGGAAGTAATGTCCAAGTGTTTGTTCTTGAGATAGAAATAAGATCACGCATACGTAATCATGAGCCTGGACTTCACATCGGCCGATTTACACTTTTTTTCAATTTTCATCCAGAAAGACACACCGGCAAGGCGTAAACAATGATGCTGATAGCCGTAAATCCACATCTATGATCCTATAACCCCTTATAGGTAGAATCCCCCACCCATCCGTTGCTGCTTGCCTTTACAAAAAAACGCCAAAATGATAAAACACCATGGAAAACGCAATGATGTTGAATGGACACCCAACCCATGAAAATGGAACCGCATAACTCATTACTCAAGAATGCCTGCCATGCTTCCTTTAAGCCTTTCAGGAAGCTACTCTATGCCAGGTAACCGAGCTCATCACCCTCCAGACGTTCCAGGTATTCTTTCTCCAACAGAATATCTATACACTTTTTGATGTCAGGAACGCGAGGCATGAAGCGATTCTTGATTTGCTGGATCGTCTCAGACACGAGTTGCTGGTGCTTCATCTTCTTTCGCGACTTCATGATACGCACAATGGCCGACTGTGGCGACGTCAGTATAATGTTCAGTATGAGAACTAAACGATAAGGTACATACCTGAATAAGTAGCTTGCGGTCCTCCTCAATCGTCTTGTGCGTGTCCTCTGCCTCGGCCTTTTGTTCAGACTTGATACCGATGTTCAAGTTCATCTTCACCTTCTTGGTCTTGAAGCCAGTGTTGAGCTTGTAGACGGTACCAGACTCGTGCTTGGCATTCTCGGGCTGAGTAAGAAGAACCTTGGCCTTGATGAATACTCCCAAACTGGGGTCCAGAGTCTCCTTGTTCAGCTTGGTCGACTCGGCAATTTCATCGTACGTGACGGTGTCGCTGTCATTGAACAGCAACATGATTGCCATCTGGTACGTTGAGACCTGGAAGGTTGGCGAAGTCTTCAAGTTTGCAACCTTACAGTAGTTGGCCTTGACTTCTCCCTTGCATAGCTGCCATAACCATGTCAACTTGCGGCCCTGGTGCTTGTGGTTGTAGAAGCGGGAGAAGCGGTCATAAGTCTGAACAATGAGTTGAGGAGGAGTAAATGGTGTAGTGGGTGGATTCAGTGGCCAGAAACCAGTACCGAGAATGTGGTATGATGCGTCGACGTTAGTCTTGATATCCGCCTCATCCAGGTTGTTAGCCTGCCACTCTTTGAAAGCAGTGTTCAGATCCTTGGAAATTTGCATGTCCTGGAACATGCGCTGCAGCTTGTTGGTGTATTCGAAACCACAAGCCTCCTTCAACTTGGAAATCATGCTGGTCTCGGCATCGTCGGACGCGGATGTGGTCTGGACCAGACGCTTGGC